CGGATAAATAATACGGAAAGCTCTTTTTTGAACTTTTTCAATTTTATCCCCCAAACACTTTGGTAACATGGTGTGCCAGACAGGTCAGGCATATTCTAAGATAGAGCGCACCATAGAAAAGTAGACTAGTAAGAGGTCATTGGGGGGAAGACCACAGCGCTGTAAGACACGAATAATGTATAAGCGTTTTGAGGCTTTTTTAACTAACGCTTCAGTGTTATCTTGCCATTTCAATTTATTGTTCATGGTTAAGCCCAAAATTTTGAAAGAAGAAACTAAGTCTAGAGGTAAACCATCAATGAGGAGTCGGGGGATGTCATTCTCGCTACGGACGAAACTCACTATCATTTCTTTGCATTTCTTTCCGTTCAATTTCATGTTGTTATTAACAGTCCATCTTTCAATTGTGTTAAGATCAGATTGTAGGACTGAAACTTCATTTTTCTTTAAAGACTCCGATATTGTTACGTCATCCACGTATTTCCAATGGTCAGTGCTAGAGGATGCCAGTTCAAGATCGTTGATCATAATTATGAACAAATTAGGGCCCAATTTGGTTCCTTGAGGGACACCTGCGTTATTGATGCCCCAATCAGATTGGAAATTGTCGATCTTTACCGATTGACGGCGATTTGAGAGAAAGCTGCATATCCATGGAATAAGCGACAATCTGACGCCAAGGGCCAGCAACTTTGGGATCAGGATATTATGGTCGATGCGGTCGAACGCTGTACTGAAATCGAGGAAAACGATCCGCAGATAGCTCGATTTATTATCCAATGTTCTCAGCCAATTGTTGATCATATCGATTAAGCAAAACGTTGTAGAGGTTACTTTAAGGCAACCAAATTGTTGCGGGTTGATTTTATGTTTCACGTCATCCACCATCCAATTGACCACAAAGTCCTCAAGAATTTTGGACAAAGAGGCTGTAAGGGAGATTGGGCGCAACTCCTCCTCACAGGATACGGATGGCGCTTTAGGAATTGGTGTAATTAATGCATCTTTCCATATGTTAGGGAATTCACCAGTGGACAGAGATGTATTAAAATGTGACATACAGGTTCGGCCAATTCGTACGCGAAATCCTTAATAATCCGGTTAGGAATATTGTGAGGACCGCTGGATTTGAAAACTTTTGTATTGAACATCTTAGTGCAAACTTCGTCAGGGAAAATTTTTGGTACAGGCCTTGGTGCAGGGAGAAAGGCAGGTAGCAGGAGAGGATTCAGTGGTGGTAGGTCATTACTCACGCTTAAGAAATAGGTGTTAAGTGATTGGGCGAGATCTTTACCAGATAGAGTGGTACCATTCTTAACGATCTTAATGTTATTGGTTGCAGATCTTTTTTTCCCGGACATCTGGTTAACACAGTCCCACCATTTTCTGGAGTCACTGGATTTTAGGTGTTGTACCTTGTTCGTATAATATGCACGCTTTTTCACTCCTATGTCGTTTCGGACTTTAAGTCTATAGTGACGCCAGAGGTCAAGGTTACCAGAATGAAAGGCTTTTTGCATTTGATAAATCAGTTTTTTTAATGCAGGCGTTATCCATGGTTTGTCAGAGTTATGAATTCAAATAACCTTAGACGGGAATAACCTATCAACAGCAGAATTTAACTCGTTGGTAAAGGAGGACGCTAGAGCGGTCGCAGAGTTTTTGCTTTCGGCATCAGAGAACCACTCACGTGAGCAGCACCATCTTCCAAAAGCTGCACGTGCCGACATGGGGAAGGAACGTATGTTTTTCTTAATTGTTTTATTATCTGTTCTTAAAACGTTAGTTTTCGCGGACCATTTAACAATGTTGTGATCTGATGAGCCGAGCGGTGCTATAATCACAGGCTTAGAATACAAGGCTTCTAGATTAGTAACAATTAGATCCAAGATGTTACCTTCACGCGTTGGGGTGTCCACTATTTGCGTAAGATTGTGATGGCACAGGAGATCGCTGATATCTAAATTGTTGAAATCACCGAGTAAGACAACACCGCAGTCGGGGTGGGTACATCTAACTCGGTCAATCTGATCGATAAGATAGGCCGTTAATTCCTTTTGCTCATTGACTGGTGTATCAGGCGGGTTATATAGGACACAGCAGATTAATCCAGTTAGGTGTCTTGGGAGGCGGTGGGGTCGTAGCCATAACCATAAGCATTCATGAGAGGGGTTTTCAAGGTCCATTCTTCTTTTAGCTGGGATATTTGTCGAGATGAAAGCGCAGACACCCCCACCACGGCTGTAAGATCTATCATTGCGAAAAATGTTGTAATTATTTATGTAAATTAGTTGCTCAGGAACAGTATCATTGAGCCACGTTTCAGTTACAGCAATAAACTCTATAGAATGTATTGATAGTAAGAGGGCTAGCTCTATCTTACAAGGAAACTAACACCACTATACCGAATATCTCCAGGTAGCCTATGTATGTGAATGCATGTTGCAACTGTACTGCACAACACCCAGCGCGCCCTACTTATTCTTTTAACTTGTCTAATGCCAGACGATTTTACTCGCCGCAATGCACCCTAGCATGCCCTAGAATTTTTACTTGTCTAATGCCAGCCGATTTTGCACGTCAATGGAGAAGCTCTGCAGCTTAGATGGTTAATAAGTTCGACCTGACATTACTAGTCAGCCAAAATGGCATAAAATATACAAAATTGACTTACATTCATAACTTTGCCCCAAAACATATGGCAAAGGCTGCAAGAATACAGCCGTTTTCCAACTCTACAAAAATCAAAGATACGAGATAAATATTTCCACATGCATACATGTACACTGCGCAAGTGTATTCTCTAAACCTAAATAAAAAGCTTCATGCTGTTCTGCTTAAAATTCTATTGTGAACATTTATAATTCATATATACATGATTAACTCTTGGTTAGCTTGATGGACTCTTGGGGCTTGGACTCTCGGGGCTTGAGTGTCTCCCGGCTGTTAAAGAGCTGCTCAGAATCACAGGACAGAACGTTCCATTCCCGGCACAGTACATACCTATTACATATTTATTGTTCAAATGTTTGACCCATTGAATGACAGCACTCTCTCCTTCAACGTATTATGTTTACAAGTAAAATATGCATGTAGTGTGACTGTTCAATTAAGCATGTCATGCAAGTCCATCAGTTAAATTTTAGTAAAACAAGCTGTATACCACAAGTCGGCAACTCCATTCCTTGCATGGTTTGGTAATCCATATTTAAACATGCTCTCGTGCAAAAGAATAACATTTTTCAAAGAGACCATAAAGTACTAAGAATTTGTCTTTCCAGAAAAGATCCACACTCCCCCAAGAGGAAATTCCCACTGTCCGAAGGGGTGGGTGTTAAAAAAGTGTTTCTGATAATAGTAAGTGTATTACTAGATCTGATCTGAAGGGGGTAGGGGAGTTAAATTCCAATTTCCTCTGTGGGGAAGTAATATGGATATTTTCTGGAATGACCCAATGCCATTAACAATGACTAATATATATATTATATTTGTTTGGACAACTTGCTTAGACAACTTGGCTTCTCGCTCCTGTCCAGAATTAGTTTTTATTAATTACTTTTCATTCAGCATCAGGATATATAATGAATCCATATTAAATACAATCCCTAAATTAAATCAGAGAAAAAAAATAAATAAAAATTGATATATAACGGCAGGAAATTATTAATTGATTGACAATAAATTTCCTATTTTTGCTTGTCTACCAGTATACAAAGTATGAAAAATATCTATATAATCCAGCCAGGTAGATTTAGGCTGGGGCTATTTATATGGGGTGAGCTAACAACCTGTGTACCTGGGCTGGCCCAGTTTTGGTAAGATCCTGACTTTGTCATTATTTTATATATTATCAACTTGTGTTTATAACTAGAATTGAGCTGGCCTGTTTTAGGAAAATCCCGCCTCAATTGACCCAAAATCTTGCTAATGAAAAGCTAGGATTTCCCATATAAACTACATATACAATGACCCAGGATTTGTCACAGTATTAATGCTTTGTGTAGCTACATGCAATCTTCTAAATGACATTTACCAATCAATTTCAGTATTAAAAGATTTCTGTGATTGTTTTTGTCAGTTACATTTCGAAACTATTTGCAAAAGTATGATGTCGGGTTACTTAATTAATTATTGGAAAATGTGCTGCTATTACACTTGAAACTCAGTCTGGGTGATTTGTTTTGGCGAGCGTAGCCTGCCCATGAGCCGATCTAGAGAAGCTCATGTAAATAGACATTTGTTCATGAAAAGCAAGCTATAGCCGGGTTACCCTGGCTGGCTGGCCTCTATATAAGCAGCCCCTTACATGTTTTAGGCTGATAGGAGGGTTACCATAGGCATAGCAAGCACATGCGATACATTGGGTAATATTGGGAGATACCGAGATAGGCTATTGCAATGCTGTCTATATGCTATTAAGGTGACTGCATTTCAAACAAATTACATATATAAAAGTATACATGTCAATTTTATAGCAAATGTTATTTTCTGTGTTGATGCAATGTACTCACTCGGGTGAATATGATGCTTGTGATGTTACTCTGAGTGTATATCCACACCGTGCAAGCTTGAAAAATATGCATGTTCACGGTAGGAATCGAAGCTATGACCTTTGGAAAACTAGCCCAATGCTCTGCCAACTGAGCTAAGCGGTCAGGTCGAGTATGTGATATTTCAGAACAGAATCTAGTTCCTTCGATACCAACGTAATCTAGTAATCATGATATTTTCTGTCTAATTGATGTAAATATGTACTGAGGTGAATATGATGCTTGTGACGTTACTCTGAGTGTATATCCACACTGGGCAAGCTTGATATGCCTGTCCACGGGTTTGATTGCCACCGAGGACAGGCATATTTTTCAAGCTTGCCCGGTTGGATATACACTCAGGGTAACATCACAAGCATTATATTCACCTGAGTACATTGCATCAGCACAGAAAATATCATGATTACTAGATTACATTGGTTCCAAAATATCACATACTCGAACCGACCTGACCACGTAGCTCAGTTGGCAGAGCATTGGGCTAGTATTCCAAAGGTCGTAGGTTCGATTCCCGCCGAGGGCAGGCATATTTTTCAAGCTTCTCCGGTGTGGATATACACTCAGAGTAACATCACAAGCGTCTTCTTTATAGAAAATATTTAACAAAAATTACAACATACAAATGTACGTCACACAAATAAGCTATACGACTTTCTTAACAACACATATACGTAGAGACTGTAGATTAGATTTATAGATTTCTGCTAATAGAAATTAGTCGAAAATTTACAACTGAACGTCTAGATGCCTTCAGTGAACTGAATCGGCGGCGAAATGACTAATATAAGATACAGGTCTTCGATTTTAATAAAAATATAACTACAGTATGTCTAGTAACTATCCGCATACAAATGAGTAAATACACAATAAACATACCTTTCAAATTCCATGTATTTTATTAGGTCTTTCGAACATTATAATAGAAAATTTGAATAGAAATCTTCCTCTTTGAATGCTTGTTCCCAAAAGATCGAACTTTGGCGCTTGTTGGCAATGTGTCATACAGATCGAATTACTACAACACGTGATATATTCTAAGCATGTTAATTAGTTGAAATTTTTGAACTTCCACTCGTCGCAAATTATATTCAGCAGCAAAACATTCCACAAGTTCAAATTACAGAACCTCTGGCAAATGCGGTAGAGATTTACGCAGCAAATAAAAAATATAGATGAGACCAATGACTGTTAAATTAATTTGACAAGAAAAACTCGCTGACAATTTCTGGCTACATTCGATCGTCGCGTGCGATTGAACAATAGGAAATCGATATGGTCCGATATTACTATATCAGTACTAGTAATACAAGAATCTGACTTGGCAACAGTCGAGAAAAACGGCGCGTCAACCAGCTAATTATTAAAATCTTGTGATGATTTTACACGAACTGCGGTCCTTCACTACGAATTTGTATAGAAAATATCGCCCTTGGCTAATTCTAGGTTGAAGAAACTTGAATATAGTTTTTGTCATTCCTATGAATTCCTATGTGTAAATGATCGAGTCAATATTACACAGGCCGAGTAAAAACTTGGTGAAAAATTACTCGCTATTTTACTCGCAATTTTAGCAGGCGGTATTCGCGGGCGCTAGAGAATGGGAAGCTAGAAATACCGCCTGCCCAAAAACTACACATTCTGAGTTCTCCCCGGCAGCTGGGTGCCGGAGCATTCTGGATGGTCAGAATGTTGATTAGAATAATTAGTGCTAATTTTAGAAGTTATACTGTTGCCGTATTTATAATATAAACTATTGCTATTTTTGTAATTGATAACGATATATCGAATGATGGCATACACTAACCAAAAAATAACGAATGTATTAATTGAGAATTAAGCGTTGAATTCTTTAATCTTTATCTGGAATCGGAAATCGCTTCATCTCGAAGAATGAACAACGAATATCAATCCAACATTTGTTGCTTGATAGATGTGATACCGTGATAAAAGTGCAGATTTGAAGATACAGGCTCGTAAATGACACTCTAATAGTCAGGGAATATTCCTTTAATCTGGGAACTAATTTCTTACCAATTTTTTTTACCAATGTGTTTATAAAGCGAATTCTTGGTGCGTCGGGTGTGGTCGTGGTCTTTGGCGAGCTGTTATAGCCATCGAAGACCACAGTGATCTTCTGAGAACGACCGCCGAGACACTGTACATATCTCAGTTAGCTGCTGATTATCTCCTGCCAAGTCTAACCTTGTTCCCACTTCACCATGTAGAGAAGCCATTCGCCATCAACCACCAGACTGGAGCAAGCGTGGTCAATGAGGTCAACTGGATCAATCAACTCCTTCAAGCTAGTCTTGCAAAAGCCTGCCTTATTGCCTTGTTTATTCTCTGATCTTTGTTGCTGAACAAGGACAAGGGGTAGGGAGACAGCTTATACTCTAAGCTTGTCTCAACTATCATATTCCGTTGGGCGATAATTATCAGTCGGTTGAACAACTTGAGTGAGTTTAGGTGAATCTTCTTCTCATTTAACTTAGGAAGCTTTCTGAGTGATGACAGGGCCTGTACCTTGAACTTCAATTCCATGGTCGATGTTACTGACTGCCGTTCAGCTTTATCTGCATCTCCCTCCCTACTTCAAATGCTCTTTCAGCGTTGACTGCGTCACCTGCTTTGCTTGTAAATCCAGTTGAAAACGACACAAGCAACTTATTGTCCCGATCGTGGTCGAAGGAGTTGTTCTCATCGAACAATTTGAGAACAAGTGCAATCGCTTCAGCATTCCGCTCCATCCGCGTTTTGGTGAGGTCTTTGTGAGGTTTTTGTGGAGTGGACCATGTTTCTTGACACTTTCCTCCATGCGCTGGTTCAGATCAGAGAAGTGATTGAGTGTTTGCACCCAGCAATTGTGACCAGAATCACTAGTGATTCTTCACCCTCCCTCTGCTCAACCAACCTTCCGACTTTGCCGCCTTCATCAGTGTCTGCTCAATACAGATGTCAGTCCAGGTGCCAGACCAATCATGACAAGAGTACCGGACAACGTGGTTGCCGTAGACAGTGAACCTTTCGAAGATCTCTATGAATCTTGGCGTAGCTTGCAGTTGCTTCATCAGCTGACAATACAGTCGTGCGCCCTTAGCGTATTGATGATGCCCGGCAGCGGCAAAGATGTCCAGCATCCTGGTTACAATGCAGCGCAGGTGCCCGTCGATGTCTGCAAGCCGTTCAGTTCTGATGAAGATCTTGAGGACATCGACCATGTAGTGGTACTGCACCCAGAATGCAGGTGTTCTTCCTCCATCGGCGAGTCTTTTGAAATTTTCTGAGAAACCTCTGCTCAAACGCTGCAACTATTGGCGCTGTGTGACAGGCTCCCATTTTCCCATCGGCTACCTCTTCCATGAAGGTTCTCATTTTATCAAGCTCTTCATCAGTGAAGGCGTTTTTCATGACGTGTTGACAGATGGCTTCATCTATCAGGACGTGAGCACGGATCGCCTTGTCAACATGGCCAGAAATCACGGACATTTTCATTTCTCAGGTTTCAGGTTACCACGAGCATCCACGCAACAATGGCGGCGCAATGCCCTATGTTTATTATCAGGCGAGCAGAGTATTTTCAATATAGCATGCTATATATAAATCTTTGAATATTTGTTGAAATTGGTTCCAGAAGTAGCGGTCGTATAGTAACACATTAAGAAAAAATGTCCTCATTTCTTTGCATACTCGCTCTGCTTTTTGCGATTGAATATTAGAACATTTTACCTCATTTTACATAGGAATCTATAAAGGTTTCTTGCTCAAAAGGCTATATCTCGTAATATATTCAATTATCGAAATTTGTTGAAATCATTTTATTTTGACGAATAGTATAGCCTTGCCTTCCGCCGTTTATTATTTTGTTACACCCGATAAAAGCTCTGCTTTTTTGTTTTGAAATTTGCAAGCCGGTGCGTTAATATGCATATTATAATATTACTTCGCGGTCGAAAAGTGATATTTCATTCGCTTGCCAAACTCGAAATATTGATTGCGTTGCTACATGTTTGGTACCAAAATACTCGTCGAAAGCTTCTCTTTTCGTTCCCGTAGTCATTGCTTAGCTACACCCTGAACCTAGTACACTGAAGGCCACAACTTGAGTGCATACTTCATGCTTTGCTTTATAAACAACACCCACGCGAATATTTGAAATTCCGGATGCTTTGATAGGTCGTAAAAGGATAATTAGGAATTCCTGTGGATAAACGGAAAAGCCGCTGACCGACTGGTACGCTTGCACAATGTCCGTCATTTCTGGCCATGAAACACCCTCCAGACAGGATGTGATCGGCCGTCGTACTTCCCGGATAAATCAGCTGAATAAACTCTAGAAGTCCAGAATCCTCCATGATCTTACCTAAAGATCCGAGGTAGGACTTTAGCAGGTGAAATCCACCCAACCTGATGGAGAAGTATAGAAAAATCATATAAATAGTTATAATTACATAATTCAATCAATACTTAGACTTGGAAAAAAACTATATGATTCTCAGTTTTTTAATGCTCGATTTCGTGCTTGTAGAATACTGGGTGTTGACACTTAAAATTTGTACACCAAAAATTATTAAATTAGTACAATGCATAAAAAAACTTTCACACCTACAGTTGATAATACCAAAATTGATTAAAACTTATGTAACATATCTTAACCTAACATTTGCCTAACTTAACGATGAATTTCATCCCTCTTGCACACACAGTGTCATCACCTTGGAATGATTGGGAGATTCGCCTGCTTGATGATATCCACAGCCTTGAGCCAGATTAGGAGATCGAAGGTCACTATGGCAGCTTCGTCTCCGCAAAGCCTCATGCACTCTTTGAGAGTGGTGAAGATAGTCCTGTGGTCATTAGGGTCACCTTCGATGACCGGGAGGAAGTCTACATGCGTGCTCTCTTTGGCATCATCTGCATGGATTCTCCTGATCCAGCAATTACAGTTGGAGTGCTGGAATTCGGGATCTTTGGCTTTGATCACCCACACTGCTGTCCAGAGCGTATCTCTTGGAGAGAGTAGTGGCTGCTCTTGTGCCACGGAGGAGGCGAGGTCAGCAATAGAAAGAAACGTGATGGCGCCTATCTCTGTCTGTTTCCTGTTCGTAAATGGAAGAATCTTAATTTCAGCAGCCTTGAAGATCTTAGCCTTGTCGAGTGTCTTCAACTTCACCCCATTGATAGCTGTTTTCGTCCGATCATCTCCCGAATGTGGCGCTGGAGAGGAGACTTTTATTAAACACATTGAATGAAAAGGAGTGTTTTCGTAAATATAAACAATGTTCAAATCGATATTATCTCCAACAAACTGAGTGACTGCACCAACTGAGCTTGTTTCCTCAGCCTCCATAGAGACCACCAGATCGTCACTTTGTATTCCACATTCATCAGCTGTCACAGCAACTGAGAGATCTTCAAGTTCGACGTCAACCTCTACCTCATCATCTATTTGATTATCAGTTTCTTCAGTGATGGTACCAAGAGCACCAGAAGCACCTTAATTAGATGCATATTCCATTCTTCTCATTGAGGTAGCAATATTTGTAACTCTGTGTCTCTGCGTAAGACTCAGTATACCCCAATCGGTGGAACTTGTTGAGCATCCACTTTGATCCAATTCTGTGATCGAGTTGTATAACAAGACCCATCTCGTATGGCAATACCCTTGACCTAGGCTGATAGGCCTTTACGAAGTTTTGTCCCCTAAACGCTACTCTTTCGTCTGTCTTCACTATCGGTCGTAAGAACATCTGAAGGCTCTCAGGAACAAATGACAGCTGACTAGAAATATTGGTCATAGTGTGTGCAGTGGCGTAAAACTTTGGATCTAGATCCATAGTAGCGATGTCGTTGCAAATGAACTTTATGGTTGTCTTAATGATATGAGTCTTCTCATCTCCAAACTGGATATTAGCATGATGCTCTCGCAGAATGTTGCTGGTCCTGTCTCTGAAACACAGCACATCTGCCCTCCTCTCCTGTGACGTGAAATACAGTGTGTCATGGTATTTTTCTTGGAGCTTCTTCTTCAGACACTTCTTCGAGTATGCGAGGCTCTGATCTGGTGATTGATCAAACTCCAGCAGCTTTCGTGGATTTGGTCGAGTGTCATTACCCCGTGCTCGAGTTCCAGGTCTAACCATTCACAGAGTTCATAGAATGCAGCAGTTCGTTCTTCATCGACTTTCCTTCCTACCTGAAGATAAAAGGTTGTTATAATTATAAACGTTTAAGTAGCATGGTTTGATAATATGCCTCATCTTCGAATGACTGAATTTAGATTCACTTCACTGAAACAGAATCATACTTTTAGATTACATACATCTTTAGTCTTGGAGTAGTGACCACTCGTCTCGAAAAGAACTTTGCAGCGCAAATGATACAGGGTTTCCTCTGCTACAAAATCGCCGATCCCTTCCAGGCGGCCAACAACTTCAGTGCCCCAATCGTCCTTGCGATCGTGTGCTGTCTTCAACAAGCTATTTTTCAATCTATCGGCAGTCAAATTGTTAGGAACTCTGTATCTCTTTCTAGCAATCGTTACAAAATTAGTGAAGAGGAGCAAAATGGTATACTTATAATAATAACTATAAAAATATTGAGCAAAATGTGAATACTTATAATAATAACGTTCTAAATAGATAATGTTGATACACATATACTATCATCAGTCATACTGATAGATGCTTATTGCTCTGGATAAGATACTGTAGTTACATGTACAACCCTCAATCCAACCTGGATTATTTGGGTAAAGGTGAACGGGCTGGTTGCAAAGAATGCATACATCATTGTACAGAAGCTGAACAAAACGTGAACTCGTAGAACTACATGCACTAGATGCACTGGACCCAGAGAAAATACGTCGTCTCTTCGTCCGTATTGACTCTTCCCCCCGCTGATGTTGCGCCTACAAATAAATGAAATGTGAATTATTTTAGAAGATTGCTGACATGAAATACAACCAGTATTGAAAAAATATTAATTGACTTTTCCCTGCCTAGGAAAACAGGTCGCACTTACGAGTTGACTTTGTGGTGACCTTGACAAACTTGTTGTACAAATCACGTTTACACTCTACGTGTTACCTCAGGGATCTGACATTCAGCGCTTCTTTCATGTGCTCCACAATTGTAGCATTTCCAACATGTTCTGCATACGACAACAGCGTAGGGTAGCGTTTAGGGGTTACTTGTGCGAGCTTCTGAGCTGGCATCTGCGGGCTTTCATAGATGAAGCAATTGAGCGGAGATGTAGGAATAACGTCTTCATTCATAGTGCTAGACCGTAGGTAATCGACGATACAAAGGAAATGAGAGGCAATATGAAATTTACTTCACAATCTCCATATCATATTTAATTCAATAAAAAAGCAATCTATCACATATTTTGTGAATAAAGTGTACATGAGCCTATGAGCGAAGAACGGCTAAATAGAAAGAATTCATTCGCAATATGTAACCCAGTTGTCCTACCTCATAGAATTTTACCATAAACCACCCAAAGGGGTGCAGTCGTGGGTGGGGGCATAACTTCCCCCTAATGTTAAAACGCGTTGGAAAACCAGAAATGCTTTATATTTAAGAAATATAAAGCATTTTCCGTGTTGATATACAGTTATATCTACAAGAGTAAAAATTGGGAAAACGAGGAATTGTGTGGAAACACGACGCCTGGAGGGCGGAGTGTTTTTATATAACTTCGAGTTTTCCCAATATAGCACAAAGAATATAGCACAAAGAATATGCAGGAAATTTTCGCGGGAAATTTTCGTGTTGACATTGAGTTATGTCAACACGGCTCTTAGCCAATCAGCGTTCAGAATTTACAATGTACTTTCGAAATAGTTGGCAACCAGGCGGCCACTTACTGGTTTATAATTTTGAACGTTATCTCGGTCAATTTTTAACCGTTTTCAATTCTGAAAACATATTTGGAATGACCCAGTCCAAGTTCATAATATATGTGCCTATTATTTAACACAAACATCCGTACACTTCATAAATACCTCTATGTAGTTCTATATGTAGTTCGTCGCGATCATAAATCTCCACTTACTGCTTCGCGCGCGTTGTCGGTCAGGACCCAAATATTGTCCGATTCAAACGGATCACCCAGAGCGATTTATTACTTCCTTATAAGGAGTTTTATATTGTCACATATTCCTCCATTTGAACTTGTCATCGTTTCAGAATCCGCAAAAAACCTAGTTTGACCCCTTCCAAGCAGCTTAATTAAGGCGGAATTTAATTTTTTCGATTTTTCCCAAATAAGGTTCCGGGGCACCCCAACATTCAGCAGCTGTCACGGGTTCTCTAACGGAGTTGAATTTAAATTTTTCGATAGTTGTTAGTAGACGCCTTTATGAACACATTGGTAAAGAAAATTTTTGGTAAGGAGTTAGGGAGCAGTCATTATTAATGCCAGGGAGGGGCCGGAAGATATTTCTAAACTCATGGTAAATTTTTCATGGCCCCTCATTCCTTCAAAATATTTTTTCATGCCCCCCCCTTTAAATATAATAAATTTTCATAGCCCCCCCCCCCTCCTTCCCCTATGATTGAACTTGCATTCCAAACATATACTAAGATCACAGGCGGCCCAATCTCGCAAGCGACATCTTGGGCTACTGTGGTGCTTGATTTTCGATGGCTGGGGAGCGGGAAATGAAAACAGCAAGTCCAATATGGCGGGGAAATTTATCTTTATCTTGTATAAAAACCACATGGACGAATTCAATTGAACTAAATTTTGGCACAGGAATGAGTTTAAAAAACATAGTATGACAAAAAGGGCCTGTGGAGAATACCTGGAAACAGTTTTAAGAAATAATCTCGACGAGATGCAGCGAAACGTGACTATGTAAGTCTGTATAAATACAATTTATAATTGATTTTCTTAATAATTTCATATGTTATTTGAGTTTGAATTATTTGTCCATATAGTTTAATAATTTCATATGTTATTTGAGTTTGAATCATTTGTCCATATAGTTTAAATTATGTGCCTTTATGAGTTTATGATCATTTCCCAAGGTTTTTTATGCCAAATTGTTTACAAAAGAATTAAAAACTCTTGACAAAATGAAGTTGAATTTTATTGAATTTCATCATGCTATGAATAAAATAAATAATCACTCGGGCAAGTCGTGCAATTAATTAACAGTGCAATTTTGGCGCATTTTTCAAATATTACTCGTAGTGTTAATATAATTAATTGCACTCCTTCCTGTGTGATTACCTATACTTATATTGCATTGACATTTATATTACAGTGAACTATAATTGCTGATGTTTTATGATTATTGTACATTAGTATAATTACATAGGTGATTATTGAAAATTCTCCTCGCTGATTGGTTACCGTTGAGGTGATTATTACGCGATAATCACCTAAGCGATTTTCAAAATGGCGGCCGAAGCCGTTTTGTCAATTGAAAGACGAAGAAATGTGCATTTTTATTTTTTTTTTCAAATAATCACCTTTGGAATTATCCTGAAACAATTATTCACCTCAGGCTCGGTGATTATCGTGAATAAAAACCTCGACTTCGTCTCAGTTTTTATTCACCGATAATCACCTCACCTTCGGCGAATAATTGTTAATTATTTTTGGTCCCCCCCCCCCTACTTTTCTTTGACATTTTTGGTAGCTCCCCCTAACTGGTTGATAAATGTTTGGTGGCCTTCCCAAATATCTTCCGCCCCCCCTGGCATTAATAATGACTGCTCCCTTAGTTCCCAGAATTGCCAGATATCTGATAATATTCCCTGACTATAAGTAGTGTTTTTGATAGCGATTGGAACAACACTATTACAAAGTTACGTCCGAAGTGGCCGAAGTTATGTTCGGCGAAAAGTATGGCTAGTCTATATTTTTGTTCAGACAATTGCGTAAATATTTGATAATACACGAACTCGCTTTACTTTCAAAGCTCATAAATCGCTCTAATGTTAACATCGACTAAACCTATTGCTGTGAATGAGGACATATTGTTACGCTGAATCGAACGTGGTATATTTGTCTTCATAGCATTGAATGAACCGAAGATATGAAACGTCAAAGCCATATTTTTTCACTGGTGCAATACGGGAGTTTGACAAATAATGAATAAATACATAGATGGGCGGGACCATGCGTTCGGTGGGCGGAACTCAGAATGTGTAGTCTTTGGGCAGGCGGTATTTCTAGCTTCTACCGCCTGCTACGCAGGCTAGATTTTTTGCTGTGCTTTGATTTTCTATTCCACTTGATTTGTCACTTAAGGTTGATTTCCACTGTTGCGTTTTTCATCCGTATAACGTATTAAATAAAGCAACAGAATTTAGTGTTCCGCAAGTTTTAGTACGCATTTGTTACCGTAACTTATTTGTAAAATATTTAAAAAATATAAGGATTCAGAAGTTTTACGTGCGTGTACAGTACCTGCGTACGAAAAACGCAACAGCGGAATTCAGCCTTTAGGCTTGGCGGACAAGTAGAGCGGCGACAGGAACGGGTCAGAGAGCCTGCTCATGATAGCGTGGCTACCCAAAAAATTCCACCTAATTAGGAGGACGTATTTCTGCTTTCATATGCGGTTGTTTTTATCCCATCAAATATTTCACCCAGGCGGGTGCAAACTACATAAGTAATGTACTTGTAGAGAATTTTTTTCTTTTGATTGAAAACCTGTATATTCCAATCCAAATTTGATAGTATCCCAAATATAGGTAACGAAAATTGCGAGCAGCAGCAGTATACATAGCATGACGAATGAAGATAGAATAGAATGTTGCAAGCGAAACGTTTGCGGGAAATGAGAAGCTATTTTGTTCGGCGTAACTACCCCCACCTCTTTCTTAGACACTGCCTTTCGAAGGCCGCTTAATTATAATGTATCTAGTCTTAACATATTGTCCGTTTAATTCCTAAGTAAGAGAAGTCTTTAAAAAGATCATTATACCGGGAAAAGCAACCCTAAAACCTCTTTCATTTTCTTTAATAACTACATAGTCATCGTGAAACTGAAACACATAATGCCACATTTCCACGTGGTATGCGCCAATGTACAACCTGTCATATTAATGCAATATTTTATCCCACTTGAATGAGATTCCACATGGAAGAATGTAAGATCAGACGTCGCCGGACTGGCTCGTCTCTAACATAAACACACAATATTTTTTATTTGCAACAAAATGACAATCATTTTTATCTCACAGAATCGAATTAAGAGAGCATCTTGCTTAGCTTGGCTTATATAAGCAGGCTCTACCATTACATATTAACCTCTGCATGTAGCATATGAACGACTGCAATAACGTTAATGTGTAAATACTGTACATGTGTGGATATAAGTAAAGAACTTAATTTACGGTACCTATAGACCTATGTTACTATTCCTGCCGTCGCACATGATATGCAGATTGTCCTGCCCCTCTTAGTTAGTATTCTTAAATAATTTATTGTTGATCTTTTTAATTAATTAGTATTCGTACATCTCAAATTATCTTTGTTATTATTGCAATTTTACTGAAATTTATTGCGACCTATAGACACGTGTCAACAATAATTCATGAATTTCATGCCAAATAATATGAGATATTATTATGCTATTCAAATTGAAATCTGTATCAGATTTACAAAAATTGATTAATTAAGCATTCGTTTCTTTCCAGTTATCTCACAACGCATTTGACACAGAACCGGTTCCTATATGAACGAAAGAGATCTTAAAACATAGTAACTTCTTTAATATATTTTAATCATTTTGCTATGCATTTGAGATATTCCCTTTTTTTTGGAAAGCAAGCCAACAAACTTGACGTCATACATGTATAATGAAGCATCGTAGTGAATGGCGTATTCAACGAAATCACTTGAAACAAGCAGTTTAATTTAGTAAACTGTTTTGTGTCATATCCACCTTAAAGAATGTGTGCCAACCGGCATGCACTGCGCGCTTCATTTGCTGTGGCGGCCATTTTTTGGCAGGTAAATTCACGAGAACATTGTATTGCGAAGTAATCATCAGATATTATTGTCCATCTTCGTATATGTTATACTATTTTTATAATTTTTGTCAAATCTTCATAATTTTTATTCATCTTCTATGTTATAATATTTCTATAATTTGGCTTGTGTGAAATGGTGTTATATTTGAAGCAAAAAATACCACATTTATAAAATTAATACAGTATTAAATGGCTTCGCCATCGTTGCCAAAGCGCGGCAGGCCAAAACTAGGCATTGAAGTTCACCGGATTGGCCTACGAATGGACGTCTATAACGAGTGGCAGGTACAAAAAAGATTTGGTTCGAATGGCTGAGAAAACCCATAGTGAATTCGCTAGTCACCTACTGCAAATGTGTGAAGAAATGAGAGTGCGTCAAAACAATCAACAATGCTCAACTCCATCTAGTCAATCCCAAGGGCAAGGTGAGTTCATTATAAATTATACGCCGTGATTATTCTTCCAACACCTATGATTTTAAGAAAATGGAATCTTTGTATTTTAGTATTTGTATTTTATTCATGTATGCTTGATTATTTACAGTGCCAGTGGATAAATGTTGGAACGAATTTTAATTATGATACAAATATTTGTTTTTTGTTCCATCAGGTCATGTTGTCCAGTCTACGCCATCACGACTTGTTAGAAGATCACTAATTCCTGAAGATATTCATCTGTCTCCTGTTCTGGCTGACGAATCTGAGATTGATAAGTAGATTCTAGATAGAAATAGAACTTTCCCACACCATTCCAAATATAAGCTCCCCCCCCCCGAATATAATCCCCCCCACATATTGAATATAATATCATTTTTGTTTCTTTTCATGTTTATAATTAACAATAAATACTTGGTTACCAATGTTGTCCATGTATAAGCCCCCTGTATATACTGTAAGGTGTATAAGCGTCCCCCCATGTATAAGCCCATCAAAAAATTTATATAAACCAAAAGCTTATAATCGGGGGTTTACGGTATTCGCTCACTATTTTCGGTACAGTAGATGTTGCATACACGTCGATTTGTCCCAGTTTGGATGTTAGCGGAATTGAGAATCAATGCACAAGCATCAACCCTGAATTTGGAATGTTTCCTGGTAGGCAGTCATCAGAATCGGAAAGTGAGATATCTGAATCTTCAGAACAAACAAGGTAAACACTACTTTATAGTATTATCAAGTGCATAAATTATGATACTATGACTACACTTGGAAATATGCAGAGTTAGCTACAGTAGATATAATGTTTTAATACTTTTTCCATTTGTGCACTGCATTAACATATTTTTAATTTATAAACAAGCAGCTCGGATTTGGCCAGTTCAGAATCTGCTATGTATGATGCTGATGAGGATGATATGGATAATTTTGAACGGTGTGGCGACAGTTTTTATGACAAAGATTTCATGGATGTTGACGATGAAATGTAAGTAAAATATTATTAAGTATAATAATAAGATTGAAATTTTCACTCGGCATTGGAACACAATTATTTTGTGAATACATGTTGTCAAGGCCACTCTTGAATGTTGTCAGGTCGCTGTCAGGCATTGAAGGGTAAAAAGTAAACAAAGTTCAATTAACAGAATTTGTGATTGACATGTATTGTGGGATATGAGAGGACTATGAAAATAAACAATCCAAATTATTATTTAGAAGCAAAATATAAAAACTTTGATTCAAGAATATTGAAATCAACGATGATATTTTGCAAGTAGTTTTAACTAAGCAAGCACTCTGATAGCAATGCCTTTTACATTGACCAACAGCACCTTGACAACATTCAAATATGGCCTTGACAACGTAGTACCACCGCCTTGATAACATACATTGTGTGGTGATAAAGTTTTTGTAAATGTTCAAACATTTAAACAAAACATTTGGCATTCCAAGGTTGAATGAAATCACATTAATTATTTTGCTTTATAAAGTGAGATTATGATAGTGAAAATCACGCTGTATCAGTTTACCAGTAAACAGAACCATCAAAAGCAATTTTTCATACCAGAAAAAACATGGAGGTCAGATTTTCCCTTTCATGTTGAAGTATTCTTCATGTGTACTTTAAGTTTTCACCCATACCAATAACATAGTAATTGGCTGTAGTTGTAGAACATATGTATTATGGGCCCATGGCTAGCTTGGCTTAAAGTGGGAAACCCATACCTACAAGTATTAGTATTGAATTCATTGTAGTAAATGCAGTATTTTCCTTTGAAGTTTTGAAGAGGCTGAAGGAGATGTGACATTAACTGCTTCAGAGGGTGAAGATAAACCAGCAGAGTTTGATCATACTAAGGGAGAGGAAGATATGGATGTGAGCTATTTCGAAGAATGGGATAGAACTAACATAGAGATACAGCATGGTCCAGAGACAAGCGATGATTGGGCACAGAGATTATTAAAACAGCTGAAAGATGAATTTGATAAAGTGAATGTTACAGGAAAACAGAGCCAGATTTTTGCAGACCATGGTCAACAGAGTCGATCAGTTGTTGAGGTAGATAAATTGTTGGAATTATTTAAAAACAATTGTCAAATGCATCTATGTACTGGACAAAGTAGAGTTGAAAATTGGAAAGCTAATGGGGTGTTTTAATAATCGCATGGAGATGCTGTCATGGTCATGGTGGGGTCTGGTCGTCATCAAAGGTTTTATGCGTAAAGAAGGAACAGAATGTGTACACCACTACCATAATGATAGCTGCAGCAATTATTATAACAGGTGGCAATTATGAAAAGTTTGCACTATTTTGCAAATTTCTTGGTCTGTCATTCATCTCAAGGTCAACTTTAATGAGAATCCAAGAGAAGTATGTGATTGCTGAAATCAAGAGATTTTGGAAAGACATGAAGGCATCTATATGGAAAATCTTTTTGGGGGAAAGCATCATTCTTTGCGGTGATGGCCGAAATGATTCACTAGGTTTCAGTGCTAAGTATTGTGTGTATGTACTTATGGAGCAGTTTGTCAATGTAATCGTTGATATTGAAGTTGTAGACAAGCGTGAAACTGGTGGGGTGTCAACCAGTATGGAAGTTTATGGACTGAAAAAACTGTTGGAACGTGTTGTTAGTGAGACTGTTGTGTCAGAAATTGTGACAGATGCTTCCTTTGAATATTTTTGGTTTTAGGCTGCAAAAATTAAGGGTTGTGAGGTACTAAGCGAGTGGACCGAGCCAATACGAAACCACTTCTAGTATTTTGCACAAGAAAGTAAGGGCAACGCAAAGAAATTAAAAGTGAGGAAAGTACTAACTTTCACGTTAGAATGTTACCCTTCTATATTATAGTCAATAATAATCAGGGTTTGAATTAACGGTGTGCAATTTACACGTCGTTTTGGACCAAATAGTGAACATTGCACATCACTTTTCCAAATGTTCTGTCGAAAATCAGACTTGGAACTGTTGGGACTATTTGCCTTATAAAGTAGGGCATATTGGAGCTTATTGGTTTGATGAATACACTTTAGGACAGCTGGTTTGGAGTTTTACATCATGTTATTGGTTAACACGAATGGGAAGATGGTGAATACACAGATGGTCCTCTTTTTTCCACTGAAGAAAACAAGACCTTGATGGATAAGGGTTCCAAGGCAATGGAGGCTTTGCAGAAAGTGGTGATAGATCCTCGCTTTCTTAATGCTTTGCACTATTATGTAACATTCAGGTATATTGGCCGGTCATGGGACTTTACAGTGCATTTCTCATTATACACCTGCAGTAAGTTTATAATAGGCCCTTCACAGCTGGTCCTGTGCCATTGCTCTCCACAACAATTAAAATCGTCTAGCGCTAGCGGTAAAAACAAGGGGGTAAAATCACTTTTGCATAACAATATATCTGTGCTTTGACTTACTGTAATCCTTTGTTTCCAAACCCCACTGATTTCAATATTCTCCACTCACTCATTGTTCTGAACTGATACTATTCAATTACACCTATTGTGTTTACACTTGCAATTGTTGCTTGTGACTTGACTTCCATTGTGATTTTCTTCTTGTGATGGATGTGAATGAGTAGATGTGTTATCAATGTTCTGAGTATATATATACCCTCATCTGAACATTCATAATTCATTCACTTATTCACCTCCATCAGAAAAAGAAAGTCGCACCTAAAATCTCAGCAAAAAGTGGCAAATATAAAAATTGTGAAGTCATGGGAAGTAATGATTTATTTATTAGACACAACAACAAGCTAGAAAATTCAATGCTTTTGAAATATACACCAAAGCGAGTTGGATTTCAGTAAGTAATATGTAATCATAAATAATGTATTTACTAATGTATTTGCAACACTCACTCTTTGTCTGTCGTTAGATGGTATGGTGGCCACATATGGGCATGTGGCTGTCATTGTAGCTTAATGAATTTCAAATTGAAAGTCAATACAATTATGTCAATTTATTTATTAAACTACAACATTGTTTTAGGAATGACTCATTTATAGCAAGAACATTAATTGCAGTTATTGACCACAACAGCCATCTCTTCAGACAACCAGCTTTGAACAGGGATGGAAAGAAGAAATACAACAAAGTGTACAGCAAGCTTTCAAATGACGAGTGACGGTTGTATTAGAAGAGGAGACCTATGACTTCTGGCCAGCTCTAACTTCTGGCATCCTGCAGAGGAAGATTCATGGAAAGGATAGTATCCTGAAAAAAGTAGAACTGTCAGCAGAGCATCCAAAAAACATATGTCATTCAATTGCTATGCAGCCTGTCCCAGCTACACAAGAAATTGTTGATCGGGCACTATCCAGATTTGCGAAGCCTACATGAACATATATTTTCTGTACTTTTTTAATTGCCGGAGTAACAGTGTCTATTTTACAAAGAGAACCTGGCACAATCCCTAATCTAGTCGCTCTCCACCCAAAGTAAAATTTATATTTATAGGGTGGTAAGGGATCCTTTTATTCATATGTGGCTAGGCAGGGACTTGTGTAAGGTTCTCTTCCCTCTCATCTACATTTACGTATATTTGAAAGAAAGGAAACGTCAATTGTGGAGGAAAACTCTTGGTATGCGCTGGTCATGTGATCTGCTAAAATCTACAAGATTTTTCAAGTAGCAATACAAGATGAGGTAAATATTGAAATGACTTGCATAGTTTAAACCATTGAGTGGCAGCGCTATCTCCCTGATGAGTAAAATCGTCAGGCATTAGACAAAGAAAATAATAAAATAGGGTGCATCTGGGCGCATTGCCACATAAAGGGTTAATTTATAGTCGGTTAATTAGAAATCTGCTAGATTTTGACAGATCAGATGACTAGCTCTTACCAGGATATTTAATGCACTGTGAATGAAGTTGGGAAATATGGCCTGACATCAACTTTGGCTATGATGTATATAACAATTTTAGACATTTATGCATACATTTTATATATATAAATATATATATATATATATATATATATATATATATATATATATATATATATATATATATATATATATATATATATATATATATATATATATATATATATATATATATATATATATATATATATATATATATATGTATATATATATATATATATATATATATATAATACAAATATGAAATTGAATATTCTATAAATGTCTAATTAAACTAACATGTCAAGCTCTTCTGAAACCCATATAGTTTCCATCATCAGCAGGGAAAATGTGTCGAATGGTCAAGACTACACATGATGGGCATACCCTTCGATTGCCCCTGCCCAATTTCTTGTACCTCCAAAGGATATACTGACGGTATGCAGCCTTGCTGTAACTATTTGTTGAACAGTCAGGGTCCTCTACTCTTATGTTATATCTTGCTCTAATTGCAATCAACAAAACATCCCTGTCAGTACATGTGTTCTGGAATGTGACAAATGATGTAACGCAACGAATCTTGCCACAATATTTGTTTTCTTCCTCAGTCGGCATGACACGACAGACACCACATACACACCAGGTAGGTTTTCCATCTGGGACAGGTGGGACAGCATCACCTGTGCCATATTTTACCAAATTTTTGGCATAATCCAGACTTCCTTTTCCATTTGACAACAAATTTAAAAGAATATTGTCTTTTTGAGCGTCGCTTAATCCTCCGATAAAGTCCTAAAATTATATATAAAGCCATTTATGAAGACATAAACCAGTAAAACTAAATATAACTGTGCCTAGAGTCTTGATGTCATGGCCAGATACATATAATACAGTGACTTGCTCTTGGCAGCCATCTTTGCTTGACTAACAGGAAGAACAATGAATTATTCATTAGGGCGCATATTCAATTATTCATTGAAATGCGTCGTATGTGCATCATTTAACTTTTATATTTGCGTTGTTTATAGTGTAATACTCATAATTATTTGGATGAATATAAAAGAACTGGTGTGCAAAAGATATATGGAAAATTAAAACGATCAAAATTCTGTATGAACACTTGCTTTGCTTACCGTAATCTCGCGGTTAGAAACCTCGATGGCCGCTTGATGGCGGTCAAATGCATTTTTCCCAGCATTTGCATTCGTCGCAATCGCCGTACTTTGTTCCTGGTTTTTACAAGAAGACTTTTTTGACCCACAGGAACACTTGTCAGTGCAATGCAAATTTTCATCGTGAGACGGACAACAGCGCTTTTTTTGTCCACTACGTCTGCTACATGTATTCTTGCAGCTGCAAAACTATCAAATAAATACAATGAATAAATAAAAATATACATACCAATTAATAAAGGAATAAACAAAACATGAAATCACAAACGTTCCTTGGTTCGTTGAGGTTGAATTTTTTCAACAATTGTTGAAGCACTGGCAGTTGATGCATTGAAGGCATTGGCAGTTGATGCAACCTCTCCTAACTGAAATTGATTGTGGCTTTCAATCGGAGAACCATAACAATTTAAATTGTCTTCAGGATCGTAAACAGACACAGCATAATCAGAGTCTGAATCGGACATTTTATCACGATTTTAAAGCTTGTTTCGTGTGGCGACGGTCAAGTATCAATGAACGAATATAAAATGAAGTAACAAGCGTGAACAATAATATAAACAAAAAGCTGGTCTTCTTTCACTTCATTATTAGAAATTTTATTGTACAAAAATAGCACGAATATTTTAAAAGAAAAAAATAGCACTCTTAAAACTTAAATTCTCATTTGCCGCAATCTCACTGCGAAATTATGGTCGGATCAAATGAAATTTTATTTATGGCCATCGGTAGGAACTAGAGTTCGTTTTCAGTCATGTACAATTTTATAAAGTCTATTTCTTAACAGTAAAGTTGATATACTGAATGTGCGGCGAGCATAAGTGACATCTTAATTCGATCCAATGGTATAATTTTTCTTTCTTAGCAGCGAGAGGTAGCAAATGGGAATATGGGAAATTACTAACATATGTGCGAGAAATATACATACCAATTAATAAAGGAATAAACAAAACATGAAATCACAAACATACCTGGGTTCGTTCAGTCTGAATCGGACATTTTATCAAGATTTTAAAGCTTGTTGCGTGTGGCGACGGTCAAGTATCAATGCGCGAATATAAAATGAAGTAACAAGCGTGAACAATAATATAAACAAAAAGCGCGCAGTGCATGCCGGTTGACACACATTCTTTAATGAACAATCAAAGATTTAATTAGTATGTATTATATTTCATATAGATATTAATGAATGTGAAACTCAAGCTCCGTGTCATGCAAATGCTACTTGCACAAACGTGGATGGATCATACTACTGTGCCTGTAAAGCAAATTTTAGTGGAAATGGCTTGTTTTGTGAAGGTAAATTATTCTGGAATGTTTGAAAAAATGTGCATAAATTATTTGAAATCTAGCAATTATTTCTTGAATAAACGAGAATTGCCAGAACAGGATTCAGAATTAGGTCAGTAATGTCATACAAGCTCGCACAGAAGGAATACTCTTGGAAAGTTTAATTCCCTTTAAAATAATCGTATCTGAACTATTTTTTAATATTTTTCTACTAAATTCAGCCGACATGTAATGTTCCTTTATTTACGAGGTTTTATAACCTGGGTATTGCTAACAATGTGATAAATATAGTAACACTCACAGATTTTGGCTATTTGTACATGTTAGCAAAGAAAAATAGAAACATTTGGTCAATGTCCACAACTAAAAATGATTGTCACCTTCAACAATTCATTCATTCATTCATCCATTCATTCAAAATACATTCAAAATGCAAAAATTTAGTTTTGAAATTGTAATGTATAATAAGTAAGGATACAATGAGTTTCGTGCCGTAGAAGTACTACAAAGTAAATGCTTCCCGATTTCAATTTCTCTGGCAATGCATGATATTGAATTTTCTGGGACAATACCATGCTAAATAGTCTGTGTTTCAATTATTTTCTGTATGACTATTTATCTTCACTAACCCAAAATAAATTAAAGAGACAACAAATCTATGAATTTTGCAACAGAAATGTCATCCCAAGATCCACTTTGATTTGCATATCGGCCCATGTGAGGTAATCATGCATGCGCTCCCTGCATTCCGGATTTCACTCTTTGGATTCCGGATTCCTCTCTTTGGATTCCGGATTCTGCTCTTTGGATACAGGTTTCTACTACTTGGATTTCGGTTTCCACTACTTGGTGTCCGGATTCCAGATTGGTTGTGGATTCCGGATTCCAGAAAATTGGCCCAAGATAAAATTCTGGATTCCTCCCATATTTGGATTTGGGATTCTACTGTCTTTATTCCAGATTCTTGATTCCTAGATTACTTTACATGGGCCGATACATTACCCTTAAGATAACCTCCAGTTCATCCTTTTACTTAAGCATAAGTATTAGTGCGAGTGTCAATGGCGCTAAACATGTGAGGTGTTAGGAGAGTTGATAAATGTCTAACTCAGTGGTCATTACCTTCCGTAAGGTGTGTTCTAGAAACGCAACTCAGGTGATCGGTCTCAAGAGCCAAAATAGTGTTAGGAGTCTCATTTTCAGGAGCTTTTCTAGATCTAGCTTTAGTTTCACTGATAGTCTCACTATCGTTGCTGTTCCTTCCGCTTCAAGCCCTAGTTCTTCTGCTACTGCCCTGTCACTAGGTACTGGCACCGTTTTTGCTTATACCCTTATCAGAGACCCGCTATATGAAAAACCCTCCCTCTCCTAAGAACAGGTGAGGGGTTTGTTCCCTTGAATTTCATTATTATCATTATAAATGCAAAGATCTTCAGTAGGCAGTTCTTCTCTATAAAAAACAATGGTATTGCCAAAACAAAAGAGAAACGTTCTTTGTTAGGCCTGCAAAATACGTGGCAACAATATTACAGTGCGCATGGCCAAGAAAATACCACAAATATGACAGGTATTGTACTGATGAAGGAACATTTTTAAAATATGTACTTGATTAATATGATCCTAATATCAGGTTATTTACAAGAAATATCTCCGGTATATCGAACTATTTTGTTTTTCCAATTCTTGAGGAGTTGCTTGATCAAAAATAAATGCCGGAAGTTTCATGCCTTTCATGCTTATTATGTTGCACTCTCCAAGCCTTGTCACTCTCGCATCTTGTTACCTCGACCCGTTTTGGGAGATGCTCTATTTTTCATAAACACCACTTCACATGTCGTGGTTAATGTCAATTGTTGTTGTTAATTGTCAATTGTTATCTTATATTACCAGATATTTAAATCGGAAGAAAATCCTCAGTTGTGTTTAGGTCTTGCAGTTGATTTAACTATGAGGCTCTCGACCATTTGATTCATCAAACTATGACTCGAAACTCAAAGTTTCGGATTTTATCCCGTCGTACGCCGGAATCACAATATTAGCCAATAGACCGAGGCAAAAATAGCACGAATATTTTAAAAGAAAAAAATTGCACTCTTAAAACTTAAATTCTCATTTGCCGCAATCTCACTGCGAAATTATGGTCGGATCAAATGAAATTTTATTTGTGGCCATCGACAGGAACTAGAGTTCGTTTCCAGTCATGTACAATTTTATCAAGTCTATTTCTTAACAGTAAAGTTGATATACTGAATGTGCGGCGAGCATAAGTAACATCTTAATTCGATCCAATGGTATAATTTTTCTTTCTTAGCAGCGAGAGGTAGCAAATGGGAATATGGGAATTTACTAACATATGTGCGAGATTTTGTTTTTAAGAAATCACAACCCTATTAATTATTCTACTAATTTAGGGAAATATTAAAGCCGGTTACAGACGAGCAAGTTTTCTATGACATGTTTTTATGTGACAAGTTTTATTTGCTCGTCTGTACGCGCAACTTTGACAATTTTTTCTATGACAATTGCAGTTGTTCAAAAACTAGCAAACTTGCTTTTGAACAGGTGCACTTGTCATAGAAGGAATTGTCAAAGTACAAATTTTGTTCGTCTGTATGGGTCAACAAAGACAGCTTTTCAAAGTAATCTGAGCATTTGATGTGATTGGCCAGCGGACTATTATAGTTTTTCGATAAACACCTTTTTCTGACACGTTCACACCAGTAAAAAAAACTTGTCATATATATATGAAAACCTGTCATATATAACATTTGTTGCATACACACACGTGCACTTGGCAAATAAAACTTGTCACATAAGAACTTGTCATATCTAGAAAACTTGCTCGTCTGTAACCGGCTTAAAACATTAAGTTTCTGACCTACGTAAATAATAGTAAATATCACAGCACAATATTGGATTATAAAGTATACTTAATGCAAAAATTGGAAAATTTCATGTCCAAAATTTCTGGTAATGCGGAGTTGTTGTCCGAGCTGGCTGGAAATATTATATATTTGGGACGATGAATGATGACATCTACGTTACGGCCTAATTTAGAATACTAAAATAAGCAATATGCACATGAAGAATTTTGTTAATATATTACTTCACAGGTCCACTGAGAATGGATTGTTTAAAATTCAGTCCAGTCCACTAGAGAAGAAAAACATAAGAGAAAAAAACTTTCACATAAAATAATAACTGTACTCCAACGTTTCTGATATTTTCCATGCTTTGCTTTGCAGAATTTACATGTAAAGTTGATGCAATATATTATGCAACATCAAGTGCTATCAAAGGTGTATTCTCTGACGGTAATTCAACAGTGACGATACTATCAGAAAGTAACGTGAAGTTAAACTACGATTCTTTGAGTGAAAGGCTCCTCTACTATGATGATGATAATTTAATAATTGTTAAACTGGACGGCAGTAATGCAACTATAATAGCGTCTCTCTCTACCATATTACGATTTGCAGTAGATCATACAACAAGGAACGTGTACTACATTACTAATTTATTCAGAAACGTTCGCAGCATTGATCTGGATACTGGAGCTGACAATCTTGTAAGTTCTGATCTTGGAAGTGGTGTTGAAGATTTGGATACTGATCCAAATAACAGGTATCTGTTAACTGCCATTTATTGTAATAGACTACGTAGAGAAAATAAACGGCATTGGTGAAGCCAAAAATTGTGTCTAAGTTTAACAATTGCGCTATTTTTAATTTCGTGAAATGATTCAGATGTTGGTGAATACCTGTGATACATTTCCTTACACACCATGTTGAAAACGAGAACATAATAAGACATCAATACATAGATATTTTATCCTCTCAATTAGTGAAAGCTATAAGTGACGTATAATATTCCCACAAATTGCAGTTAAGAGTTTTGATCTTTATACTGGGTTTTTATTTTTATTTACAAACTAAGGAATGTTAATTATTACTAGAAAATACATGCATGCAGAATCCCTCGCCTTGTTGACAAAACTATTGTATTTTCCGAACATGAAGTATATAAATTAGTTGTCATGGTAACACGATAATTTTATTAAGAATATTTTTACAAATGAAAAATCTCCAAAACTGTCACTTTCAATTACAAATTTATCAATTTCCCAAAAGAAAAAGTTTGTTAGGTATGTTATCATACGTAATATAAGCTTCATTTTAAGTTAAAATCCAACCAACCACAAACGCTTCGCAGGACGCTTTAAATGTTGTTTATAAAACAAAACTGCCTTTGTTGATGAACTTTGAGTTTGAAATAAAGTGATTTCAAATTCTCGCATGCAATTAATTTTCCTTTCTTTTTTATTTAGAAATTTTAATACAATAAAAAAGGGTAATCATTAAAGATTAGACTTCGAGCTGTCCTTTCTTTTCGCGGGTTTAGATTTCCGGGCATGCGAAAGGAAACGATGGACTGCCGACAACACATCAAAAAACGAAATAGGGGTTCCCCACACAACGCAAAATTTCGGTCCCATTATGGTCGAAATCAATATGCCTGTCAATCAAATCTGATACGCAGTTATAATTATGCTATAAATAATTTCCAGACTGAATGTTGATTTTATAAATAAACATGACATTAACGGTTAATCCTATTGGATAGTTTTAATCGGATATAAGTTATAATGTTTATGCAAAGGCGGAGCCAACTTGACACGAGCGAAAAGTGGGCATATTTCGTTTTTTAAGTTGTTGTGGGGGGTCCCTCCTTTCTCCCGAGAGACTGCTCGCGGTCAAATAAAGATACACTGAAATTACATGCTGTCCATTTTAATGTAAAATATACGCAAAGATCAGCTTTTAAAGGAATTATTAAGCAAAATAAACATCAATATTTGAAACAAACTTACCTTCCTGAACGTCGGCGCCTTTGCTCCCTTCTTTTATCAAATATTTCGCTTTTATTCTATTTCGCTTTGAAATTTACAAAATCTTGAAAAATTAAATTTATTTGCAAGAAATCATCAAATCAAGAAGTGTTGGCTGGTTCGCTGTCGTCGCGCAGTCGTTAAAATGAAAATGTTAAATTGGTCCAATCAGTGTTCGCTATTTATGACACTCCGTTATATTACGAAGTCAGTGAGGATGACCAGTCACCTACCCACCTACGCACAGTAATGCGCGCCTGCAATCATCAGTGAAATTTAGACTTGGCTAACGCCTTCTTCTCCGGTTGTAAATAGCCGAGCGGTATTAGTACCCTCGCCCCGGGCTTACGCTTGGAACGGCGCTCTGCGGCGTTGGCACGGGGACTAGGTTAGTATATTCAACATATTGAGCAACGGTGATTACTACTTATCCATAGTCTAAAGCTTTGCCAATATTTGCGAAAACAGTCCTAACACGATTATCCTAGTGAATTCCTTCTCCCCCCCCCCCAAATTGTAATAGTAGACTGACTAAAATAAAAGCCAGACTAAAATAAAACGAAATAAATTCGTGCTAATTATATGAAATACGCGAATTCCAAAATAGGTACTATAACCGTCATGTTTTCTAATTTCAGGTCGCTTGTATTTGCTGGTGCAAGCAACGGAGATATTGTTCGCTATTTCCTTGATAATGGCGCACAAGAAGTTGTTTACAATAACAATAGATCTCCTCGATTTCTGTCAGTGGACTCCGAGTATGAAGTAATTTATTGGATTGACTATATCGCTGCTAATGATAGCTACTTTCTTATGAAAACATACTTCAATGGCTCAATTTCGCAAGTAAATTATTATTATCCTTGTACGACAAGCTCAATCAAAATTGCAATTGGTAGAGACGATTTTTACGTTATGGACAGTACAAGAGGTCGTATTGACAGATTTGACAGACGTACAGTCTCTTTGCAAAATACATTCTATCTGGGCGATACGGCTGAAGAATTTACGATTGTTCAAGGTAAGGTATCATTGTTTTGTTCTCATTTCCTTATATTGCATGTCGCATGGAAATATACGCGTACCATGATGTGCTGCAATGGCAACTGTCTGAAAAGCACGCCAAAAATAAGGAAAAAGCACGTCAACTATATTGTTTCGTTTTGTATGAATATGAAGCTGGTGCACACAAACTTTTTTGTCTTTCAGAAATTAGTATAATTTTTTAATATTCTCTAATTCGTGCATCACAATAAAAGGGAGTTAGAGATTAATCCATAGGATATACTGAGCATGCCAATCCCGAAACCATGATCGTATAATGCCACCAAAAATCCTAATTAAGATAAGATACTGACTGATGAGATAAGCTTAATTAATAAAAGCTCTTTTAAAAAACGTCTCTCATCTTACAACAAGAATTCATTCCTTTCCTAAAAAAAACACTACATGGTTGCTTGGGCTAAGGCGCGGCTTGGCCCAAAGCCCTGGCCGCTGTGCGCAAATACTTAGAGAATTTTATAATATAATTGGGATATGACAGACAATTTCATTAATTGGCTAATGCACATGCCTTGTGACGCGATAAATCACGGTGATCACTGGCACTGTCTTGCTTTTTCTGCGTTTTCTCCCGCCATCTCTGTTTTTGAGCCATAAATATAAACAAACTTTTAAATACAAAAATTTTGCAAGAAGCAAGAAGGAAAACACCAAAGGAGCACAGCAATTTTATCTATAGCTTTGTTTTTGTTTCGACAAGTTTTGGGCAAGAGCGTGCAAAATAGCTGAGAAAAATCTTATAAAAGATGCAGGAATACCAAAAACATAGAAATGGCAACAAAAACTGAACAGAAGTGATCTAGAAAGTACCTTCAATTATTCTGATAAAGGCGGCTAGATATAATTTCGGGGAAAGGCAAAAATTACAATTAATTTCAAAATTAAAAAATGAGCAATACGACGAAACCTACGATTTAACGTCTTTCGTCCAGCAGCCCAGATGTTAAAAAACCTTAGCAAATTAGTTTGTGTATCTCTAGATCCCCCCCCCCCCACCCCAACTTTCAAAACAGTTTCACCCTCAACTTTACTTGACAAAAGCTTGTTTGAAAGTATGCATAATTATCCCATAATGTGGAGCATATCAAAAGAGAAGCAGGTATTAATATGATAGGTTCGTACAATTTCGAAACTTGGCCAAAATTCTAAATCAACGCAAATTGCTTTTGTAGATTTGGATGAATGTTGCATTGGCGGTTATTGTCATGACAATGCAACATGTACAAACACGCCTGGAAGCCATTTCTGTACATGTAAGGAGGGCTTTATTGGGAATAACACACACTGTGAAGGTATAAATAGACTTACTATATTTTCAATTACAATATGATTATACCCACTCAGCCAATCACCGCCCAGCGGTTTCATTCTCTATATCCCCTAATCACAAGTCGTATAGCAATCATAAGTGAGATTATGAAACTTTATATTGGTTTGCTCTATATAGAAGGCAAGAATTACCACTCGCCAAATTAACTAAATACCCTATGCATAATAACTCTACATCCAAATTCCATATTTACTTACAAAGACTCACCAAAAAAATATAATTATGACACTGAAAACAGTACGAACATCAACAACGGATAGACGCCACATTAATTACGATTAATCTACCGTTTCTAAACAAACAAAACCACTCTCCTCCGCAGAGTCGTATAATTAAACACGAAAGCTAGCCATACTCAGAAAATGTAAAGCATGCACGTAATTGGTGAACGTGCGCGGGGAAGGAAGGGAAAATGAAAAAAATAGCGCCAATTTCTAAATTCCGTAATGGCATAAAATTACTTCAATAGCTTTGGGCTAGGCCTGGTGGTAAAGCGGGTATAAACTTGAAACGTGTATACTGGAGATGCTAAGACAAAGTTATCACAGTCGAGTAATATCTTAATACCATAATCATACTCGTGATTAACAAATCAACCTCCCGCTACGCAGTCGGTTGATTTTGTAATCACTCGTATGATTATGGCATTAAAGTAGTAAAAGACCCCTATCTGGGGACAGAAGTAATTAGTATGCAAAGTTAGGTGCTGGAAGTAATTAGTATGCAAAATATATGGCGTCACAATGCTGGGCAGGCCTGGGCCAAACGTGACAGGTAGCGCGACCAATTAGCGCGGGCAAGCCTTGCCATTGCCATTGATTTTCAACCATTCCAAACATTGCCATTGACTGGTTTATTAAAATTTAGCACTTTGCTTCGGAAATTTGGTTTAAATTTAGCACTTTGCTTCGGAAACAAGTGAGAGCATTTGCTGCCTTGCTGATTGTGAAATTGGGCGATTGGGTCCCATTTCTAAAGACCTAAACACTCTCAAATGCCTTTTAAAACCACAAGTACAGAAACATCAAATCTATTGACTGTGATCAAATACAGTACACCTCTGGAATGTTATTGCCATGGTTTTGCCACTGACCTCTATATAATATGTGTACATGTGTAAACTATCAGCCATTCCTTGCGTTATCAACAATATAGTGTTGTAATTATCAACCGTTAACAGCAATAAGTTAATTAGTGGGTTGTAACCCTAACCGTAACCCCTAACTTTGCCATAACCTCTAACCCCACCCCCTAAACTCTATCCCCACCCCCTAACCCTAAAGCGGGTGAAGTTCGCCCAAACCAACTTTACACAACTTGATTCCTGCCACACCATAATATTGTGTGTTTAAGTACAGTAACACATGGGTTGGGTAAAAATTATTTAGACCAATGTCGAGGTTGGGTAAATAAAAAAATTACAGTGTTTTTTGCTTCTCTTCGGTACCAATCCCAGGTATAAATAATGAACGGTCCCTTATGTACGAAAAGTATATAAGCACAACGAGTCGTGAGAGAACACATGTTTATAGGAGGGGAGAGAAAATATACTCGCTCTATACTTATCGCAGCATAGCCATGATAAAATATAATTGAAACCAAATCTGCCAAATCTGCGGCACCGGTTATCGGGCATTACCTGAACAATAAGTGACTGTAAACAGCGTGATTTAGACCTAAATGCCTTTAGCCAATCGTACATCTTTAGCTAAGGTAGTTTTATAAGCCTAGGCTTGTTTACTCGAAGAAATAAAGCTTTTGACGAGCTCTTTGGTTATTTATTGAACTACATGACTCGACGTTGATTATATGAACATACGGTCATTCGGGTCAAATAAGGGTTACGAAAACATTCGTCAAAAATTCAATTCTAAAGCCCGCCGCACACGAGCGCACTTGTCGCGCGTACTTGTTTTTCGTGGCAAGTTGGATTGACAAAATTTCCTCGTGTGCGGGCAGCATTTACGGCATTTTTGTCATTCGTGACATGTATACCAAATATCAAACATGTTTGATATTTTTCGTCATTCAGGACAAAAAAATTCTCGTGTGCGGCGAGCAAACGACAAGCGCGCCTGAATAGGAAAATTTGCGCATGCGTGCAACTTGCAGAATTGAAAACAAGACACGAGCTCGTGATTTTGATCCGCCATGTTGTTTTTAATTCTGCAAGTTGCACGCATGCGCAAATTTTCCTATTCAGGCGCGTTTGTCGTTTGGTCGCTGCACACGAGAATTTTTTTGTCACGAACGACGAAAAATATCAAACATGTTTGATATTTGGTTTACATGTCACGAATGACGAAAATGCCGTAAATGTTGCCCGCACACGAGGAAATTTTGTCGATCCAACTTGTCACGAATAACAAATACGCGCGACAAGTGCGCTCATGTGCGGCGGGCTTAAGTTGCCCAAAAATGTTATTTGATCAATAGGAAGCGAAAACATATTTCTTTGATCTGGGTATTAATTTTTTGTCTGAATCGATGTAACAATGGAGATATTCGCTGCCTAATATGGCATATAATAAAGAGGTTCGAAAATAAAAACATTAAGAAAATCTGTAAAATATTCACTTTTTACAGAAATGTCTCTAAATTTCGTCTGATAATCAATAAATATTTCTAATTTATAAAACGAAATCATATTTTATGACATATTCCCATTATCGTGCAAAATAGAGCGATTTTAGTAGTGTCATAAAATGACCCGTAAAAATCGAAAGTGGCCTGGGAAAACGAATTTCGACGTCACTCTCCTTAAATATTTATCCGATCAAAATAAAATTTTCACAACATTAATACTTCATATAGGCTTATACATTCTGACAAAGTTTGAAGGATTTTGAATTTTCTCATTTTACATGTCTTACCTGACTATTACAGACAACCGCTCTTAATTTAGTAAACTGTTTTGTGTCATAACCAGTTTAATGAACTATTAAAGATTTCTGTACGTGATTATATTTCATATAGATATTAATGAATGTGAAACACAAGCTCCGTGTCATGCAAATGCTACTTGCAAAAACGTGGATGGATCATACTACTGTGCCTGTAGTGGAAATGGCTTCTTTTGTGAAGGTAAATGTTTTGAGAATGTTTGAAAAAATGTGCATAAATTTTTTGAAATCTAGCAGTTATTTCTTGAATAAACGAGAATTCCCAGAACTGGATTCAGAATTTGGCCAGTAATGTCATACAATCTCGCACAAAAGGAATACTCGGAAAAGGAAAGTTCAGTTAATTCTTTTTAAAACAAAAAAGCCCTTTTGTAGATTCTTTATCGTTTTATTTTTGTTTATTTTGTTTATTGCCAAACAAAATGATTTTACATATTTTGATTAAAGTTATTATTTACATAGTTCCTAGGCTAGTGGTCTTTGTGAGACCCTGAAGGACTTTTGATTAAAGCTAAGACCCCTATGATAACATAAATTTGGTAGAAATTAGACTATAGATATAACAGTAATTATTTGTTCATGGAAAGTAACTAATATCAACGAAGTATAAGATATGTGTTAAATAAGTGTTGAAAAAGTTTAAATTGTCTTTCATGGTATATATACATGTAGTAATTAATAAAAGGTTATATTACAATATATAGAATATAATAGATTGAAAGTCAGTTAATAAGAGCAACCAAAATCCATTCTATTTCCAATAAAGTTCCATACAATTGCCATTCTATGACCTTTTATGGATTTTCAATTTTTTTCCAGTGCGCCCAGATAATAAGGCTTTACGCCATGAATCTACACCCGTTTAGCATACACCTCAACGGGTATTACCCATATGTTCTCAATTGAGAATATTCGGTATTACCCGTGCCAGACTATCGCCTGCGCTACCTGACGCTGACGCTTTCGCATATCATTATATATAAACCAATCACAATCGTGTTTCTATCACACGTTCTTCTCGAGCTTTGAGTTGCCATATTTGAAAACATTTCTAGCAGATTTTGTAGTCTATTTGCGATTCTGTGCAATGAAATGGAGATAGGAAAGAGAACTAGAGTAAGCGACAATCAGAGAGATATTTTGGAAAGGTTTTACGGCCGTTGAATGGTCGGTGTTGGTCTAAATTATCGCAAAATGATCGAAAGCGCTGTAGCAGAAACTGGCTTAACAACGACTCAAGTTATAAAGGTAAATATAGATATCATAGTGATGTTAATGTTGACTATTTACTATTAAAGACACTAGATGACATACAAAAATATACTAATATAAACTAGTATCAGGCCTTGCTTGGATGAAAACCAAGATACTTGATCAATAGTGCAGCTACTGTGCATTCAAGGCACTATTTTCTATGCACCTACTTAAGCGAGAGTCTACTTCGTATATTGTTATTACATGCCTAGTTGACAGTCTGAACTTACTGTAACATGCATGTTTCCCCATTGATGAGTGAAATTGTCTGGCGTTAGACAAGTAAAAAAAAGTAGGGGCACTGGGGCACATTACGTCTCAATGGGTTTAATGCACCTATCAATGTTAAGCCCCAGAGGGGGGGGGGGGTCGGGCATAGGTGGGGCATTTGATTTTTTGAGCAAATTTCCAATCAAATGCCCCACCGTTGGGCAATAAATATTGGTCAAATGCCCCACCATCTTGCAATAAATTGCAATAAATACTATGTTAATAACAGTCATTCGGTTCAAATTGCCCCAACTCGGGGCCAAAATGCTAATCAAAATCTCCAGGGTGGGGATGGAATTGATAATCAAATACCCCACATATGCCCGAACCGCCTCCCCCCCCATTGGGGGTTAACATTGATAGGTGCATAATAACTAGAGACATTGTCAGATTTTTTGGTTAACCCCTTAAAGTGCAGAGCTTCCCCATTGGCATTAGACAAGCAAAAAAGTAGGGTGCACTGGGACGCATTGCGGCTTAATGAGTTAATAGGCATGCACACACGATCAAGCGCCTTCCTAGGCTAGACCTGTAGGGGTGCACCAGAAACCTTTTTTTAAGTTCCGGCTGGAACTGGATCTGGCCGGAACTGGAAGAAAGTTCCAGCTGGAACTGAGTCATATGGTCATATGTTACTTTGTCTGCTGCCAGACAGTCAGACACTTTCAGTCATGAAACAGAGAGCATGCAAATGTTAGAATAAAAAGATTGACTATTGTTAAACAACATAATGAAGTGTAAATATCCATGTGTTTGAGTCAAAATAGTATAAACAATCGAGCCATTTTATAGTCAATTGAAACCATTGTTTTACCTTAAATTAATTGAAAGTTCAAACCTAGCTTATATATCAAACATATCCGACTGGATATTCTGGCCGGATAGCAAAAAGCTCTACCTCGTTCAGTGGTTCACCCTAGGCTTACTAACATTGTCTTGGTGAAGCAATAAAATGCAAATATTCACCCATGAAATATAACCATGTGGTGATTCATCAGTTTTGTATTCTGCTCTTTTATGCTACATATGTAATAACAAAGTGATAAAGTAAGAGTAAGAGCAAAGAGAAAATCACTCTGCATTGATATTGTGTGCTTCAGGAAATATATCTTCAAAAATGATAGAACTCTGGCTAGGGCTCCTGTGCAACTAACACTAAACCACATCATGTTGCATGTTTTATTTCTTCAAGAAGGTCTCTGTCCGTGCTTTTTTGTCGCCACCATGACAATGCACGTCAATGCTTTTTGTTTTGCTAAACCGTGTTTTCTTGTATATAAATATATAGGATCCTTGTTAATAAGATTCAATAAAGGTTGAGCAATTGTTCATATAACTCATAAAAGGGTCAAGATTGTGCCATATTGGGGGGAGGGGGGGGGGGAAGGATTTGGCATGTTGCATTTGTCAAATCGTCGGAATGAGCTTGGTGACCTCAACTTTTTTTCTGTTTTTATTATGAGGATATCATAAACTTCACCGCTGGGAAGTTTCCGCAAATTCTCATTTCCAGAACAATATTGATGAATCGTCTAGAATCTTATTTTTATAATGTCCTTTAGATGAGTGCAAAGATTTGATGTTGATTGAGAAAAACCAGTTGGCTTCTGCTGCATGGAAGCTCACAGGTGAAGATGAGAAGCAAGTGTTCAAGAGTTCATCAGATGACCTCGAATCATGGCTGTTGGCAAAAACATGAAGCACAGCCAGGAGGAAAAACCTTTAATTTTGCCCGTTTATACCAAAGCAGAAGAAAGGTTTTGGTTATTATATGCTATCACTAAGCCAACTTAAATACAGCAAACAGGACCACTTACAAAGATTACTGGTTGGACCTTAGTCCTACTAACTGAAGGTTACAAAGTCCTGCATTCCAAAAAAGTGACTTTACTGGGGAAAAACATTATTCGTATAATGCATGGTCCCATGTATTTCACACTGACTGAAACCTTAGGCCGAACAAGTTACAGCCTTCCACTAGGAAATAGGCAAGCCATTGAAAAAACTCCTGGAATGCTTAGTTAAGTAGCTTAAGTTTGGAGTAGTAATGTAAATAGATTTTCCTATACACTGTAAAAAATTGTACAATATACGTTTTATAAAGAACAAAACAATAGACACTCCGATCTAACATTCATATGATCATATGTTAGATCATAACATATGATCTAACATTCTTTAACATTGATTTAGGAATGTCATATCCATGATCTATTAATCCAAAACTCTTTAATTTATGCTGATTTTGGTATTTCATATCAATACACCCTTTTCCTAAATGGCTGCCGATTAAAAATTCTTTTATGTGCATATAAATTGGCCCAACTAGCCTCGTACTCATGTCAATATTTCGAAGGAATTTCTACCTAGAAACGAGGCTAGTTGGGCCAATTTATATGCACATCAAAGAATTTTTAATCGGCAGCCATTTATGAAAAGGTTGTATGACAAAAAGCTTTCGTTACTTAAAATACTCTCTACCACTGGTCTACGTTTTCATTAATACACTAACATCCACTAATACATATTTCCGATAATTACATCACGAGTACGTTATTGGCATGGGAATTCATTCTCATGAATCGTGAACCAATCGCCTTCCGTCTTGATTGACGAGAGCAAGGCTCCAAGACCAAGAATGTATTCATGACGTATTATCGAAAATGTTATTGTAGTCCTATGTATGGCATATCGTTGATCTAACAACCTTCCAATGGTAATCTAGGCATATCTGATCATGATTGGAGGTTGTTAGATCAATGACGTGACATGTATAGATCAGTGTTTAATGGGGGTTGCTAAATCAGTTATGATCAGACATGCCTAGATTACCATTAGAGGGTGTTAGATCAATAATAAGACATGCCTATATTACCAGTAAAGGGTGTTAGATCAATTAAATGACATGCGTACATCAGTGTTTGGGGTTGCTAAATCAGTTACGATCAGACATGCCTGGATTACCATTAGAGGGTGTTAGATCAATAATAAAACATGCCTATATAACCAGTAGAGGGTGTTAGATCAATGAAATGACATGCGTACATCAGTGTTAGGGGTTGCCAAATCAGTTACGATCAGACATGCTCAGATTACCATTGGAGGGTGTTAGATCAATGGTATGACATGCCTATATTACCATTGGAGGGTTGTCAGATCAATGAAATGACATACGTAGATCAGTGTTAGGGGTTGCTAAATCAGTTACGATCAGACATGCTTAGATTACCATTGGAGGGTGTTAGATCAATGGTATGACATGTCTATATTAACATTGGAGGGTTGTTAGATCAATGAAATGACATACGTAGATCAGTGTTTGGGATTGCTAAATCAATTATGATCAGGAATGCCTAGATTACCTTTGGAGGGTGTTAGATCAATAATAAGACATGCCTAGATTGCCATTAGAGGGTGTTAGATCAATAAAAAGACATGCCTATATAATTACCAGTAGGGGGTGTTAGATCAATGAAATGACATGTGTACATCAGTGTTTAATAGGGGTTGCTAAATCTGTTATGATCAGACATGAATAGATTACAAATGGAGGGTGTTAGATACATAATAAGACATGCCTATATTACCAGTAGAGGGTGTTAGATCAATTAACTGATATGCGTACATCAGTGTTAGGGGTTGCTAAATCAGTTACGATCAGACATACCTGATTACCATTGGAGGGTGTTGGATAAATAATAAGACATGCCTATATTACCATTGGAGGGTTTTCAGATCAATGGAATGACATACGTAGATCAGTGTTAGGGGTTACTAAATCAGTTACGATCAGACATGCTTAGATTACCATCGGAGGGTGTTGGATCAATGGTATGACATGCCTATATTACCATTGGAGGGTTGTTAGATCAATGAAATGACATACGTAGATGAATGTTAGGGATTGCTAAATCAATTATGATCAGACATGCCTAGATTACCATTGGAGGGTGTTAGATCAATAATAAGACATGCCTAGATTACCATTGGAGCGTGTTAGATCAATGATATGACATGCCTAGATTACCATTGGAGAGTTGTTAGATCAATGAAATGGCATACGTAGATCAGTGTTAGGGATTGCTAAATCAGTTATGATCAGACATGCCTAGATTACCATTAGAGGGTGTTAGATAAATAATAACTACCTCTACTGGTAATATATGCATGTCATACCTTTGATCTAGCAACCTCCAATGGTAATCTGAGCATGTCAGATCGTAACTGATTTTGCAACCCCTAACACTGATGTACGCATGTCATTTCATTGATCTAACACCCCCTACTGGTAATATAGGCATGTCTTTTTATTTATCTAACACCCTCCATTAGTAATCTAGGCACGTCTGATCATAAAAGATTTAGCAACCCCAAACACTGATGTACGCATGTCAATTAATTGATCTAACACCCTGCAATGGTAATCTAGGCATGTCTTATTATTGTCGTAACACCCTCTAATGGTAATCTCGGCGTGTTTGATGATAATTGATTTAGCAATCCCTAACACTGATCTACGCATGTCATTTCATTGATCTAACATCCTCTACTGGTAATATAGGCATGTCTTTTTATTTATCTAACACCCTCCATTGGTAATCTAGGCACGTCTGATCATAAAAGATTTAGAAACCCCAAACACTGATGTACGCATGTCATTTAATTGATTTAACACCCTGCAATGGTAATCTAGGCATGTCTTATTATTGTTGTAACACCCTTTAATGGTAATCTCGACGTGTCTGATGATAACTGATTTAGCAATCCCTAACACTGATCTACGCATGTCATTTCATTGATCTAACACCCTCTACTGGTAATATAGGCATGTCTAATTATTGATGTAACACCCTCTAATGGTAATCTAGGCATGTCTGATCAAAACTGATTTAGCAACCCCTATTAAACTCTGATGTACGCATGTCATGTCATGTCATTGATATGGTAATCTAGGCATGTCTTATTATTGATCTTACACTCTCCAATGGTAATCTAGGCATGTCTGATCATAATTGATTTAGCAATCCCTATCACTGATCTACGTATGCCATGTCATTGATCTAACAACCCTCCAATGGTAATCTAGGCATGTCATATCATTGATCTAACACCCTCTAATGCTAATCTAGGCATGTCTGATCATAATCGATTTAGCAACCCCAAAGACTGATCTACGCATGTCATTTCATTGATCTAACACCCTCTACTGGTAATATAGGCATGTCTTATTGATCTAACATCCTCTAATGGCAATCTAGGCATGTCTTATTATTGATCTAACACCCTCCAAATGTAATCTAGGCATGTCTGATCATAATTGATTTAGCAATCCCAAACACTGATCTACGTATGTCATTTCATTGATCTAACAACCCTCCAATGGTAATATAGGCATGTCATACCATTGACCTAACACCCTCCAATGGTAATCTAAGCATGTCTGATCGTAACTGATTTAGCAACCCATAACACTGATCTACGTATGTCATTTCATTGACCTGACAACCTTCCAATGGTAATATAGGCATGTCTTATTATTTATCTAACACCCTCTAATGGCAATCTAGGCATGTCATATTATTGATCTAACACCCTCCAAAGGTAATCTAGGCATGTCTGATCATAATTGATTTAGCAACCCCAAAGACTGATCTACGCATGTCATTTCATTGATCTAACACCCTCTACTGGTAATATAGGCATGTCTTATTGATCTAACATCCTCTAATGGCAATCTAGGCATGTCTTATTATTGATCTAACACCCTCCAAATGTAATCTAGGCATGTCTGATCATAATTGATTTAGCAATCCCAAACACTGATCTACGTATGTCATTTCATTGACCTAACAACCCTCCAATGGTAATGTAGGCATGTCATACCATTGATCTAACACCATCCAATGGTAATCTAAGCATGTTTGATCGTAACTGATTTTGCAACCCCTAACACTGATCTACGCATGTCATTTCATTGATCTAACACCCTCTACTGGTAATATAGGCATGTCTTATTATTTATCTAACACTCTCCATTGGTAATCTAGGCACGTCTGATCATAACAGATTTAGCAACCCCAAACGCTGATGTACGCATGTCATTTCATTGATCTAACACCCTCTACTGGTAATATGGGCATGTCTTATTATTGATATAACAACCTCTAATGATAATCTAGGCATGTCTGATCATAACTGATTTAGCAACCCCTATTAAACACTGATGTACGCATGTCATGTCATTGATCTAACACCCTCCAATCATGATCAGATATGCCTAGATTACCATTGGAAGGTTGTTAGATCAACGATATGACATACATAGGACTACCATAACATTTTCGATAATACGTCATGAATACATTCTTGGTCTGGGAGCCTTGCTCTCGTCAATCAAGACGGAAGGCGATTGGCTCACGATTCATGAGAATGAAGCTCCCAGGCCAATAACGTACTCGTAATGTAATTGTCGAAAATATGTATCAGTGGATGTTAGTGTATTGATGAAAACGTAGACCAGTGGTAGAGAGTATTTTAAGTAACAAAAGCTTTTTGTCATTGATATGAAATACCAAAATCAGCATAAATTAAAGAGTTTTGGATTAATAGATCATGGATATGACATTCCTAAATCAATGTTAAAGAATGTTAGATCATATATTAAATGCCTAGACAAATGTCAAAGTTTGCTAGATCACTATTACTATTAGGTCCTTCCAAAGTTTGAACTTTAGAAAATAGATAATAAGCGACTACAATAAAACGTATACTGTACAATTTTTTTACAGTGTATACGAAAATCTATTTACATTACTACTCCAAACTTAAGCTACTTAACTAAGCATTCCAAGAGCTTTTTCAATGGCTTGCCTATTTCCTAGTGGAAGGTTGTAACTTGTCTGGCCTAAGGTTTCAGTCAGTGTGAAATACATGGGACCATGCATTGTACGAATGCTTTTCCCCAGTAAAGTCACTTGTTTGGAATGCAGGACTTTGTAACCTTCAGTTAGTAGGACTAAGGTCCAACTAGTAATCTTTGTAAGTGGTCCTGTTTGCTGTATTTAAGTTGGCTTACGGGCTTAGTGATAGCATAGAATAACCTTGCTTCTGCTTCAGTATAAACGGGCAAAATTAAAAGTTTTTCCTCCTGGCTGTGCTTCTTGTTTTTGCCAACAGCCATGTTTCGAGGTCATCTGATGAACTCTTGCACTTGCTTCTCATCTTCACCTGTGAGCTTCCATGCTGCAGAAGCCAACTGTTTTTTCTCAATCAACATCAAATCTTTGCACTCATCTAAAGGACATTATAAAAATAAGATTCCAGGTGATTCATCAATATTGTTCTGGGAATGAGAATTTGCGGAAACTTCCCAGGGGTGAAGTTTATGATATCCTCATAATAAAAACAGATAAAAAATTTCGACGATTTGACAAGTGCAACATGCCAAATTACCCCCGCCCCCCCCCATATGGCACAATCTTGACCCTTTTATAAGTTATATGAACAATTGCTCAACCTTTATTGAATCTTATTAACAAGGATCCTGTATATTTATATACAAGAAAACACGGTTTAGCAAAACAAAAAGCATTGACGTGCATTGTCATGGTGGCGACAAAAAAGCACGGTCAGAGACCTTCTTAAAGAAATAAAACATGCAACATGATGTGGTTTAGTGTTAGTTGCACAGGAGCCCTAGCCAGAGTTCTATCATTTTTGAAGATATATTTCCTTAAGCACACAATATCGATGCAGAGTGATTTTCCCTTTGCTCTTACTCTTACTTTATCACTTTGTTATTAGATATGTAGCATAAAAGAGCAGAATACAAAACTGATGAATCACCACATGGTTATATTCATGGCTGAATATTTGCATTTTATTGCTTCACCAAGACAATGTTAGTAAGCCTAGGGTGAACCACTGAACCAGGTAGAGCTTTTTGCTATCCGGCCAGAATATCCAGTCGGATATGTTTGATATATAAGCTAGGTTTGAGCTTTGAATTCATTTAAGGTAAAACAATGGTTTGAATTGACTATAAAATGGCTCGATTGTTTATACTATTTTGACTCAAACACATGGATATTTACACTTCATTATGTTGTTTAACAAGGTTGTTTACCATTTACATGGAAATTCCGGTGATTCCATACGGAAAGTAAATGGAACAAGCATATTTCGACTGCCCAACCGGAACTTTTCCGGAATAAACTGTTTGTTTGAAAAGGTTGTGCTCTCTTACCGATTGGAAAGTTTCAACCGGTAAATGTTGTTCCATTTACATTTTTAAAATTTTTTTCACCAGTTCCAGGCTCTTCGCGATTTAACAAATGAAATTATTAAATGGAAAGCGAATAATCCGAATGGGATTTTCTATCCGAAATTTTGCTTACCATTAGCACAATTTCAAACCGGATGGGTTTTACATGTAAATGGTAAACAACCCAATAATCAATCTTTTTATTCTAACATTTGCATGCTCTCTGTTTCATGGCTGAAAGTGTCTAACTGTCTGGCAGCAGACAAAGTAACATATGACCATATGACTCAGTTCCAGCTGGAACTTTCTTCCAGTTCCGGCCAGATTCAGTTCCAGCAGGAACTTAAAAAAATGGTTTCTAGTGCACCCCTACAGGTCTAGCCTAGGAAGGCGCTTGATCGTGTGTGCATGCCTATTAATGCATTAAGCCGCAATGCGTCCCAGTGGACCCTACTTTTTTTGCTTGTCTAATGCCAATGGGGAAGCTCTGCACTTTAAGGGGTTAACCAATAAATCTGACAATGTCTCTAGTTATTATGCACCTATCAATGTTAACCCCCAGAGTGGGGCGGGGGGGTTCGGGCATATGTGGGGTATTTGATTATCAATTCCATCCCCACCCTGGGGATTTTGATTAGCATTTTGGCCCTGAGTTGGGGTAATTTGAACCGAATGACTGTTATTAACATAGTATTTATTGCAATTTATTGCAAGATGGTGGCGCATTTGACCAATATTTATTGCCCGACGGTGGGAGCATTTGATTGAAAATTTGCTCAAAAAATCAAATGCCCCACCTATGCCCGACCCCCCCCCCGTCCCCTCTAGGGCTTAAAATCGATAGGTGCATTAAATTCATTGAGACGTAATGTGCCCCAGTGCCCCTACTTTTTTTTACTTGTCTACATGCAAGTTACAGTAAGTTCAGATTGTCAACTAGGCATGTAATAACAATATACGAAGTAGACTCTCGCTTAAGTAGGTGCATAGAAAATAGTGCTTGAATATCTTGAATGCACAGTAGCTGCACTATTGATCAAGTATCTTGGTTTTCATCCAAGCAAGGCCTGATACTAGTTTATATTAGTATATTTTTGTATGTTTTTTAGAATTGGATCAAAAAGGTGGTTGCAGGTATTCAGATCCTGGAATGCTGTGAAATGGCCCTGCTGGACCTGTTGGAACATTCTATTGGGTGAACATCAAATGATGTGTGGAGTGAAATGAAATGAAATTTCGATTCAATGTGACTGATAGAATTGGAATGGCATAGATGATGATTTTAGTGAATTATGTTATGATGATGCATGGACTGTGATGATGTTGGTGAAGCTTGATTTATAACATAGATATAAAGTGATGATGCTGGTGGTATATGAGTTGTAAAATGATATGAAATATAAGTGATACATAAGTCTGAACATTCAAGCTAAAATGAGACATGAATAGTAAAACTGCGACGTGTATGACTCGATTGATTGTTTTTGTGAAGATCGCGCAGGCATAACCCGGGTGCGTTTATAATGTGAGATGTATTGTGATGATGCCAAGACCTGGGTGAATGCCAATGTATCGCCACCCAGGTCAAGTCCCATGTGTTTTGTGTTCAAAACTAAGGTTATGTTCTCATCAGGCTCCAAGCATAACCGGGAAAGCACGTTTCGACCCCGCTAGCTGGTCTTGGAACTACGTGCTCGCATATAAATATTCATTTCTGTTCCTTTGATGAATTATACATGTTTTGCGCGAAAAAATCTGTTGATTATTTCGTCTAGGAACAGTGTGAATGTTAGTTGAATTTGGTATGTGTGCTTTGTGGTGGGTGAAAATGATATGATTCTAATGCGTGATGTGTTGATTTTTGGTTTCGGAATGTAAAAATTGAAATTTACTTACTCGTATAACTGTGGTGAACCGTACTCTGCGTGTAGGCAAGGCGAAAGGAATTCTTGGGAGGAGAGGGGTTCTAAAATTACGCCCGGGGGGGGGGGCGAAAGACGAATCCTAAAATGTAGGGGGGTTTGATTAGGGTGGGCTTAGTTAGGGTAGGGTTAGTTGATAGGGTAGGGTTTGGATTATAAGGGTTGGGAATAAGTTTTTGGGTTAAGGTTCCGGTGGGGATTGGGTTAGGTTTGGGATTACTGCCCAGAATAGTGGATTGAAAAGTGTTGAATAGGGAGTGGGCCTGGGAAGTTTCGAGTGGGTTGGGTGTATCGATGTTGTGTGAATGTGTCTCTGATGAAAGTGGAAACATCGGTTGAAAATATTGCACATTCATTGCACAGAATCGCAAATAGACCACAAAATCTGCTAGAAATGTTTTCAAATGTGGCAACTCAAAGCTCGAGAAGAACGTGTGATAGAAACACGATTGTGATTGGTTTATATATAATGATATGCGAAAGCGTCAGCGTCAGGTAGCGCAGGCGATAGTCTGGCACGGGTAATACCGAATATTCTCAATTGAGAACATATGGGTAATACCCGTTGAGGTGTATGCTAAACGGGTGGAATCTAAAAGTATACTTTTAGATTTATGGCGTAAAGTCTTATTATCTGGGCGCACTGGAAAAAAATTGAAAATCCATAAAAGGTCATAGAATGGCAATTGTATGGAACTTTATTGGAAATAGAATGGATTTTGGTTGCTCTTATTAACTAACTTTCAATCTACTATATTCTATATATTGTAATATAACCTTTTATTAATTACTACATGTATATATACTATGAAAGACAATTTAAACTTTTTCAACACTTATTTAACAGATACCTTATAAATCAACCAAAAACCTCTAATAAAACTGAACAAAATATACACCAAAATATTACGAATGAAATTAGTTGCGCAGTAAAATTAGTTACAATAAACGTAGAATGATATATAAACATGCAAGAAAAGCAAAGAGACAAGCAAAAGTTGCATTCAATATTTCACGAACGGCGACGTACGCCACATTGTCAAAAGTGATAAAAAACTGAGCAAAATACATACCAAAAAGTTACGAATGAGCAGACGAATATACTCTGTATATCCGAGCAAGAAAATAACATAATATAATTTAATTTAAAATAAACGCAAACCGGTATATAAACGAGAAAGGGCGATGTTTACTAAACCCCACTGCTGCAAGCGAGACGCAAATTATTAACTCCGGCTTGAAATAAGATATCAAGGAGACTTTGTCTTACCAAGCAAAAGATTTTACTGAAAACACGTGCATATGTACTTGTACATATGCACGATTTTGTACTTGACAAAAATAAGAATTTACTTAAAACAAGCTGAAACTCATCAACCAAGAAACAACTTGGGATTTGGAATTAAATGTCGAGTATTTTTTTAGTTTCCAGGAATAATAATGTACTAGGCTACTTAAAACAAGCATAAATTCACTTACCAAGAAAACTTTTGCTCTTGATATGAAAAAGGAAGTAAATGTTTATTTGACAGAAATAACCATTTACTTAAAATAACATTAATACAACTGGCACTCACCAAGAAAATTTCATCGTTACTTAGCTAATTCCTTTGGAATCTTTACGCGGAATTGAAAAGAGCAGAAAAAGTTAGCCCATACACTCTAAAAAAAGGTGTGTTAATTTAACACACCTTTTTGTCCAAATTTTAACACACCTTAAGGTGGGTTTTAAAACACACCTTAAGGTGTGTTTAACACAGCTTTTGGCGTGTTTTGTAACACACCTTAAGGTGTGTTTAACACACCTTAAGGTGTGTTAAACACACCTTAAGGTGTGTTCTAAAACCCACCTTAAGGTGTGTTTTCGGCTTGTCCAGATTTTAACACACCTTAAGGTGTGTTTTGTATAAAGGCGTGTTTTTGAACACACCATGGCGTGTTTTCGTACACACCATGGCGTGTTTTCATACACACCATGGCGTGTTTTCATACACACCATGGCGTGTTTTAAAACACACCTAAAGCTGTGCTGTATAACACACCATTCAGGTCTGTAATGTTTACAGCACGTTGTAAGGTGTGTTTCATAACACACTAAGGTGTGTTACATAACACACCTACAAAAGATGCTATAATAACACAGCAAACCTAAGGAGGTGTATTAGAAAACACATCTACATATTCTTATTAAAAGTAAAATGACATTAGAGACATGCTCATTTGCACAGAGTTTATCCATGACAAAATATTTATTTGACACTGACTAAATTACATTTTACATAGTTGACTATGTACTTTTACTATACTTTTACTAAACCGAACTGTAACAGACAACTTCTCATTCTGATGCAGTGTTCTGGCAATTAGAGTAATGGAGTACTATATTAATTGTCTTGTACTTTACAGCCATGCAATTGTCAAAATATTGCAAGCCCACATCTTCCACAATCAGAATACCTGTCATATGAAACACTGTAACTGATAACTTGCATCCAATCATTCCATCTTTGTATCATTTTCTTTATCGCTCGGTGAACCACAACCTTTGAATCACATAGCCAAGTTTAACCATATTTACAGGTAGTCGTATCAATCCAACATACAAGCCTGTGTCAAGATAAGTAAAAAATTAATATACAATGGGACAATCTAACAGCTTAAGTTTATATATAACATATGTAATTAAGTCATTTAACCCACTAGCACGCAGCACTCTCTTTTTGATGACTAAAATTGTCTGGCGGTTGACAGAGTAAAATAACAAAGGCGGGTCCATTTGGGCGCATTTCGGCTTAATGGGTTATCAAGGCACATTGGCAGATAGTTTGGATAACCATTAGTGAGCAGGACACTGCTCTTGAGGAGTAAAATTGTCTGGCATTTCACAAAGAAAAATGTCTGGTGTTAGTTAAGTGCAACATAACAAAGTAGGGTGCACTTGGGCACATTGCTGCTCAAAGGGTTAACAATAAAAGGGTGCATATATTAGCTAAGTATATTGAATATCAATATACAGTCATTTAACAAGTTAATTTGTTTGGCATTTCAAGACATAGGATGCAATGGACTGATACTGTATCTGGCCGGATATTAAGATTTTAATTCATTATCTGGTATCCGGCTACCCAATGCCGGATATTATTCATATAGGGTTCAGGCCTTCTTTCAGGTTAGAAAATGATTTGATAAGGTTATCATATCATGATCATTGAAGTAAAAATATGATAAATATGATCAGTATTTTCAATGCTTGTTTGTACAGTAAATGGGGATTTGAACTTTTAACTGATGTAAACGAGGCTTTTGCTACCAATAATGCATGTTTGCTACCAATGATGCAGGTTTACTAGTTTTAGACTGTTTACTTTTTAACCAAATAAAATTATTACCAGTACTTAACCTTAAATGATGCCTGAACCTTATATAATTATTTGAATAATACCCTTAATCAGGTTGGATATTTTTCAGCCATCCAGCATATCCTGTATCTGGCTGGATAGCAGAAATACTCTGTCCTGCACACCCCTAGAAAGAACCGAAAGTAGGCAACATTTAAGAGGAAATTGTTTCTTCGGTGTTAATAGGTGAAATGAGTCCATGCAGTCGATAAGTAAAATTGTCTAGCATGAGACGTCACAGTTCAATATTAAAGTACTTAAAGTAGAGAGTGTTAGGGAAAATTGCATCTAAATATGTCAACATGAAACATGGGCAAAATCTAGCTACTGTACACACAAATTAGCTTGTCCGGCATTAGGAAAGGTGACATAATTTAAGAAAGTGCTGAAAACTGGGTTAATTGGAGTGAATTGGGTTGTTACATATATTACTAAGCAGATCATGTGGGTGGTGTAGCTAGCTAAATGTATTCATGAGTTTGAACAAACAAACAAACAAACAAACTAAGGACTTTAACTGTTTCCAATTAGGGAGATGTCCATATTCAAGTTGCCACACAAAACATCAAATTGACATTTTTATCTAAGCCGATCTATCCATCCTTGAAAACTTCAAGCATGACATACAAAGAAACTTGGAATTTAACCCCCCCCCCATTCCATTGATGTCTTAATTAGTACATCTTACTATTATCAGTCTCAGAAGATTCTACTCTTAGACTCCCTCCCCCTCTGGATGACTAAAATGTCCTTTGCATCTAAAAGGGTTACAGTAAATATGAAATGTGACCCTTTGATGTTAGACATAGTAAAATCATGAAGTACTGAAAGCAGTCTGGCTTTTATCTTAATAATGTGTTAACACAAAATGTGGGCAGACAATCTAGTTTCAATGAAAGGTTAAAACCTTTTAAGTCCAACACACTCCCCATTGACAAACAAAATCACCATGCAGGGGTTGATTGTTCGAAAGCCGATAAGTTAACCTTAAGCAAACTTCCTAACAGTTTGTTTATAAATTTGGAAATATTTCTTTAGACATCTTGTCTGGATCAGTACCATTGATAGGAGTTTTCTTTTCATAATTTTAAAACAAAAAGATACTGTATGTAGAAATACATAAATTTTAACTACGGGTTAGGGTTAATCCAGCTATGCAGGCCTTAAAATATTGGTCGGTCATGGACATTGTCCGACCCATTAGTGAAATTGTCCGACGTAGAGAGGAAACCACCAGACATTCTGTCCGACCAAAGTGAAATTGAGGTTTATTGTTTGTCCGACCTGAGTGTATTGGTGTCCGACAGAACTGTAGCTTTGTCCAACGTAAATCAAAATGTACCCTATCCCAGGACTAGAGGCTTGTATGTTAAATGGAAAATCAGAGTACTATAGACCTTATTCATAAATCGTGATGAGGCTTCTAT